GGATCGTTATAACAATAGCGACGTAGGTAATTTTACCTGAACAAGTCACACTGTCAGGGCTGCCATGACTAATCTAAAGACAATTAAAATTTTATCTCCAAAAAAGGAACCTATTTCAAACTTAACTTTAGTACTGGATAATATTTTTTTTGAAAAGATACATTATAGGATTTGAAAACAATCAAAAAAAACGAATGTGGGGGGACCACAGTGATAACACACATAAAATTTGGTTAAATTTGTTCAAGTTTAGCCAAGTGGCTTCTTTACGGCCGACGACGATTCACTCAATACTCTTGGCTCAGCAATTCATTACTTGGGAATCTATTTTATTTTATATTTTCATTTATTTAGGACAAATAATAGTAACATCTACAATATTTGAACATAACAACTATACTATTCATTTTAATATTAAAAATGCGAAAGTTTATATGGATGGATGGGATGTTTCTTACTCTTTCACGCAAAAGCTACTGAACAGTTTTGAATGAAATTTGATACCGGAATACAACTAGTTAATAAATATATCCTAAAAGAGATGTATAACTTTTAGAAAGTTCGTCTTCACGAACTTAATTATGTATTACAAGCTCATACCGTAGATGTAATGAGCATGCATAAAACGAGCAAAATAAAGAAAGATATGGAAAATATTTTATTTTCATTTTATTTTTATTATCGAAAAATAAAACTCAGGTTTCTAAGGAAATATTTGTATTTGCAACTATTTTTCTGAATCTCTTTTGTTCCTGATACTGCTTACTATAATAATATAGTGGTCGTTATACCTACTAAATTCTTATTCCCTGTTAATCCACAAAACTCACGTAATTGGTATAGACATCTTAGTTGCATATATAATATAGTATTTTATAACCTATTTCAAATACAATTATGACAAACTTAACAAAGTCTTTTATAAGCATTATGAATTTCCGTCTTACATTGGAGGCATATCCAGATATGACATTGCAATTTTTTTAATGCACTTACAACGACAAATTGTATTAAGACTATATTAAAATGATTTTAAAGTAATGTATAAGGATACACAGACGGACGGCAGCCCTGTCAGACCCGATAAGCGTAACGACAGTTCCGATTTAGTACCCACTGATTCGACAATCGCGAACGTGCGCTCGTTACGTAAACTTTACTCTAATGGTTCACTACAAAATTATAGTAATTTTATAAGCACGTTCGATTGTTGCATATAGGTACATAGATAGTTATTTCCCCACACTTCAGGATGCTTAATATTGAAAACTGAACTAAAAATAATTGGGGCATATTTTATATTAAATATTTTACAATATGAATTGTTTAAATTAATCAAGCTTTACTGATATTCGGTTAGCAAGTATACTTAAAAACAACATATAAGTATTTAGGATTAAATATCTATATACCTAAATGAAATATTTTGATTTTTTGTCATCAATTTATAATATAAATTAAAATATGTAGGTAAGTGGCGTATAAATTTGCACGTGGGAGAATATACTAATAAAAAATTTATTAAGGTTGCCACTTCCCCACTGCCTTTAAACTTACTTCTAGCAGAAATCTAGTAGTAGGTACACAGATTATCATGTTTATCTGGGTTCCCTAAGAAAGTTTCCTGAAAGCGGAAAAGTATTTACTTTTTATTGAATTAATAGGATTTACTGTCATGTTAGTTCCATATTCATTTTATTACATTCGATTAAAGCTGCTGTTATTCTTTTAGAAATAAAAACTTTGCTGTGAAACAAAATCTGAATCTTGTCTATTTGTAGACACATAATTCTAAATTATAAATGTATAGTATGTACAAAATATCTCGTCACTCATCATTATTATCCTATAATTGAAATTGATGTTTGCTGCAAAGCAAAACGTACTGTTAAATATTATTTATTCATCAAGAAGCCATTTAGAAAGCTTTCACTTTCACATTAAACTGCCATGCAATACAGCACTATAGTAGCACTTACTTGAAGAACTGTTAAATTACTAAGCTACCGTTAGTGCTTACAGCGCTAACATAAAGTACTGTTGTCAAAGAATTGATTGCAGTAGAAATTGATTCAAGCCGGGCTCAAAGATTGTTAATTGAGCTGACTACAAATTTATGATTGGATAAGTTATTATGACGTCAAAAGACTACGAACAAATTCACATTTATGATAATTTCGTACAATAGGTACCAAGTAATATATATGTATTATTACGTTGTATCTTGTCCTTTTTGTCGAATCCTATGACAACAAGCCAAATGAAATGAATATTTGGCACGAGAGGACATGAAATAATTTCGAAGAAACACCTACATAAATTTGGGTAGATTAAACAACGCAAACATAGAAGGCATTTCATGTATATATGTCTTTTAAAAATACAACTCATATCACAAAAGAAGTGTTGGTTGGTACATATAGAGTATACAATGTATACAATCATCATCATCCTATCAGCCTTTAATTGTCCACTGCTAAATATAAGCCTCCCCCTTAGCCAGTAGTTGCCACGCTTAGCAGGCAGATTGACAAATGCAATCAGGTTTTAGAAATGTTTTAAGAGGGATGCTGCTGCCCATCCCTTGCCCTTACTTGAAACTTTCCCTCTGGAAACTATCGTGGTTAATTCTAGTGAAATTCGTCACGTGGGGCTAACGGGCCTGCTTTCACTGTCACCTATAACCCCTCACTAGTGCCTCGCTACCGTATATCGATAGCGCAGGCGGGGTTATCATTTCATTACCACCTATTAAAAAGAAACATCGTAAAATATAGTATGATGTGTTGCTGTTCCTAAGAACTAAGATATTATGCCGCCCTATTCAGACATTTCATTGCCATATCCCACTTTCAAACTACACAAAAGTTCACAAAACAATCATACAAGCACAACTACTTCACGGCAGAAACATAGATGGGGCAGAGATACCCAGTTGACTCTTGTACAGTCTCCTACTGGTTATCGGTTATTATCTACTTTTAAAAAAATTCAGACTATTCATCTAAACACAGAACTTACCAGTCGGTATGTTTTTACAAAATAAAATTGCTTACGTCACAACAATAAATTGTGTTCAGTTTCGGAAACCGGGAGCTCACGTTATGAATCGAGGCATTGTTGTAAAAGCTTACTGAAATATAAATGTACCTACCTTTATGGACTGTTGACAGAGTAATATTCCATAGCCACATTGTTATCAGCTTCAAATTTAAATAATTGATTCAGGGACAAGATAACCGAATCTCGTTACGAAAATGCACAATGTTTATGTTTCATTTCAAAATTCCGCTTCAGACATTTACTTACTTTATGGTAACCTATTGTTGGTGTTTCACGCCAAATTGTTTTCATACATAATTTTAAGGGAGAGTAAGAAAACGAAGTTTTAAATTTATTATTAAAATATTTATTAAATACTAACAATATGTTGCGACTTCACCCGTGTGATCGGTATATAAAATATCCTATGTGCTAAGTTAAAATATAATCTACCCATTTCATTCAAATTCGTTCAGTAGTTTCTACATGAAAGAGTAACAAACATCTATCCATCCATCCATCCATCCATCTATCGTTACAAATTTTCGCATTTATAATATTAATATTACGAGGACGATGTATTTGAAATAATAATGGTACCCTAAAAAGTTAAAAATATATTTTTAAACAAAAATGCATTTAATACCGGTAGTCCATCGCATTTTGCATCCATCCACTTTGGAAAAAATGAATACAAAGCAAGAAATATGTATGTATCGATCTTGCCGAGTGATTGTACACCTTCCTCGACCTGGGTGCTACTTAGCAAAATCTTCCGTGTTAGTGTAACGCTGATGAAAATGGCAAATAACGCTTCTGTTAATACCAAAATACCGAGATACCTGAGATTGACTTCTTCCCGCTTGCAACATCCCTACAGCTCTTTGCATTTCATCTGCTTTCAAATGACGTCGCTTCATGCCGTAAAAAATGTCTCAAAATCTAAATTTGTTCAAAACTTTATTCAAATTGTTGTTTAAATCATAAAATTGATACAGAATACTAAATTTTAATAAGCAAAGAAAACGCTATAAAACTTGAACAAATGCATTCGCTTTTGAATTTTTGAAAAAAAAAAACAAATGATACTCGATTTTTTTTACAACCAACCAGTATGCCCTCTAGATCAAAAAAGTTTACATAGGTATTATCTACTTGGAAATAAATAATATAATAATAGATTAATAATTTAAAATAGTATGTGTTGCTTAGACTTTTTTGATGTGTATATTTTTATTGATAAGACTCATTAATTTTAATAAGTTTTTTTTTAAGATTTATACAGAAACATCTTAGTCCTGAGAAATAGCAAACCTTTTTTATAACGTAAAGGGTAAACTAGCATGTGGTTTACCTGATAGTAAGTTATTACCGCTGCCCATAGGCACGCGCAACATCGTCGTGTAGTCCCGGCATAGAATAGGCCACTTCTTCCTTTTCCATGGGTGTCTTAAAAGGCTACTAAATAAAAGTAATGGTCGAGGAATTAACAGCAGTCTTCCTCTTAAAACACCACTAAAGCCTAATAGCGGTTGCCAAACCGCCTGTCAAGCGTGACAGCTACTGGCAAAACTCCTTTTAAGTTTGAGACCTATGTTCAACAATGGGCAGTTAACGGCTGATATGATATGTTAATACTCTTTTCTAGAAGATTTTAATTTTATATCTGTTCGGAAATACTGCTGCTGGGAGATGGTTTCATACTTTAGTCGTGCGTAGAAGAAAATTTTTACAGAAATGCATGAAGGAGGATCACTACTCATCCAGAAAGTCGAAATAAAACTTTAACTTGTATATATTATATTATAGAACGGTACCATTTCTGCCACGATTTTTTTTAATGTCTATAAACGAAATATATCAATATGTAATGATATTTTACAACTGCAATAAATTAAACGATGTTACATACTCAAAGGAGCAAGCCTTATATTTTATAATAATTATAAACACATACGTTAACAGTTTAATTGATTATGTATATTACTTAATTTCAAATAAAAACATAATTTCAATATTTAATAGTACAATAATATGAAGCATCCTTAATTATACTTAGTTACATCGGCCGCCGGGTGCACATTCCTTGTCGTAAAACGTAAACTCCTGAAACAAAATTGTAACAGTAATTTGTCAATTACACATATACGCTAACAATGTAAAAATTAAAATGAAACTTTTAGTCAAAAATATAAATTTATAGGCATGTATACTTAATGTAGATTCGGTATTTTTTAAAGTAATTAGTTTAAAGTTGACATTAATATAAAATTTAATATCAACAGGCCAGTTCCTCAATGATTATATATTGTATTAATACCGATAGCTTTCAGAATACAACAACATTTAATTCTTAAATTAGATGCATTCAACTTTGACGGGAGAGAAGGGATTACTAGTAATTCAGAATACCAGTCCCATTGCTAGCAAAATACCTTATATCTATTTTCAGGTCGACCTCCACGTGGTCCCCCTGGGAATCCCAGATGTATTCAAAACAAATGCCGGTCAGCGCGGACGATGTTGCCATTCCATTATCATCCATTAAAAAAAAGCAACTTTGACGAGAATAAATTTGATAACAATATCGCCGGTAATATCTCTAAAGTGTAATAAAATGTTTGCGACAACAGAAAGTGTACTTTGCAGAATATTTATTGTTTTCGATTGGAAAAAAAATATAAAATACTCCATATTACCACAGCATACGTTCTATGTAGCTAGGCAATTGTAAATAATATTGTTTTATGTTTATTGTAGTAAATACTTCGTTCTCTTTTCTATAATATTAATCACCGCTCTCCGGCTAGATAGGTATTTGGCTAGAAATACTTACGTATGCCGCAGTTGCGAGCGCATACAAATTTCCCTGCATTAAAATAAGTAACATTATTTGAACCACATACTGGTTGGTATTCAGGTGTAGCTGGACAGTCCTGTACACATTGCCTTTGCGACGGGCTTTCCGTGCTATGAAAAAAAGAAGAAAGATATAAATTTTATTGCTAGACATTAAGAAGCTACAAAAGAAAAAAGAAGTAAATAAATAAAACCAGTCAGATGCGAGTCATACTCACACCTGGCTTCTGTACGTACACACATATGAGATAAAATTGCTAGAAATAGACTTCTAATGGTTATTATTATTGATACTGCAATTCGTAATTTTGTTAATTAAGACCTTATCTAATTGTGGTTAAAAACTGAACCGCAAAACTATATTTATGAAGATTTTTAATAATTTATCAAAAACTGCTAGTAAGAATCATTATTTTATTTTTTCTGTTATATATAGGTATATCTGTAATTATTTGAGATTTTTCACTTTACTAATTTCGAAGATAAAGGAGGCATGGTTTTTCTTTTTCTCATATTTTCGATCGTAAGTAAAAAACTGTACAGCATAAAAAATATTAAAACAAAAACTATTTTAAAATATACAAATGAAACCTTTTGTAACAATACCTCACTTAGACTACCAAGTCTATTTTGAAATTTTTAATACTCATTTGATATCCTCTATTAAAGAAAATAAAATCATTTTTTTTTATTATTTCCATTGCAATATATATGGAACAATAATATACAAAATTATCCCAAATTTCAAATTGATAGCACAATTAATAGTATTAGTAGTTGTTGAGATGAGATATAACGCTGTGACAGATGGACGAACGGACGGAAGAACAAAAACCCACCATAAGGATTTTTTGTGCCTTTTCGGGACGGGTCCCTAAAAACTTTAGCTCAAAGTGCCTATTTGCGTGGTTAATTGCCTCTATTCATATCAGATAGTAATAATTTATTAAAACAATGATGATCATTTAAAAATGGTTGACAATTTCATAAGGTTTCTATTACAAAAGCCCTTTGATGTCGCAAGATCAGACTCATACATGATACTATTATATTCACTTATATTTAATATAATGAAGGCAACCAACCTGTCTTCAAAATATATTTGATCCGGTGAAAATGTATTAGTTGGTATATGTACAGGTTTACCCAATATAGCATTCTGAGATCCATTATACTGAGGTGGTATGTCATCTAAAGTTCCACCACTATTACCTCCATGCGATACTGGATTTGGATACTGATTAGGCATTTGTTGATGGCCTGCATTTGGATACTGATTCACTTCTTGATTAAAATTTTGGCCTTGATGTCCAAACGGATACTGATTAATTTGTCCATTTCCAGTTGGGAAGTTATGTCCAGGATTATTGAAGGGACGTTGGTATATTTGGTTAGGATATTGATTTTCTCTAAAATTCGGATCCTTTATTGGTTGTGGCTGGTTTAAATATTGTTGTTGATCCCACCCGTTTGGTCGAACTTGAGTATGAAGTCCAATAGATACCGGAGGCAGTATTCCTTGATTTGGGTTTTGACTTTGTATCTGATTATTCATGTCTGGTCTAATATTACCTATTTGCTGATTGGGAAAACTATTAGGATTATTTCCACCTACTTGAACTCCAGGTTGGATTTGCCATTGATTCAAACCATTAGTTGACTGGGGATTAAAACCTTGGTTTTGAGTAGGTCTAAAGTTTTCTTGATTGGGATACTGTTGAAAACCACCATTCTGAAAACCGTATTTTGGAAATACATTTTAAGCTATTGAAAATTATAATCTAGCAATTCGTCTGTTTGAAAATGGTAACTACGAACACAGTACAAGTACTAGTATAGTATTATATTATCTGTGGTACAAGTAATAGTAGGGGAGAGTCGGGTAGCCCCGGCCGGCGGGTACCCTCGGTCAGTGCTAGTTACAGGAAAGTTCGCACACATACATGCACAAGTGTCACATCCACACGACCGCAGCACCATTTAGCCGTATATTCATATCAAACGCGCTGCGACTGATGTGCGAACAACACGTGACATTCGTTTGTTTAACAGTACCTATACTTTTGTGTGCGCCGTTTACTTTTTGAGTGCGGTTATTGGTTATACAATGTAAGTACTTCACCATAGTATATTACTAATTCTGTAAGTTAGTCATTATAGTTAACAAATTAGGTAAATACTTGACGTTGTTTTTATTGATATTTCCTATAGGAATAAAAACATAGGATCGAGGCGGTCGGGTACAATCGGACACTTTTTTGTCGGGTACCCCCGGACATTTCTTTTATGACGAAATGTTTAGTTTCTTGGATTGCATAGTGAAATTAAGAAACGTGGTAGTTTCACCATGTCTGTTTGTCTATGCATCTCTATGTTACAGTCTTTTTTTATTACAATGTTGAGACAAGTGTATAAAATCTTGTGTCTTTTGCAGATAATGCCAAAATTCAAAGGAAGGATTACGCCTAGAGGAAATTGGGACGAAAATAAAATGAAACAGGCTATAAGATGTGTACTGGAAAAAAAGATATCGGTGAGAGAAGCAGCTGAGAGATATGATGTGCCGAGAAGCACCCTTCAGGATCGGATAAAAGCTGTCGGTAGTGGACAAGAAGCACAGTTCAAGCCAACACTAGGGAGATATGAACATACCTTCTCAGAAAATCAATCACTGCAATTATATAACCATGTCAAAGACCTCGATAATCGCCTGATGCCGCTGACCAAAGTAGAGTTTTTGAAATTGGCATTTCAATTTGCAGAACGTTTAAAAATACCTCATAGGTTCAATAAAGAAAAGAAAATGGCCGGCAAAGATTTTTATTATAGCTTCATAAAGAAATACCCAGATATTGCTCTCAGAAGTCCAGAGTCAACCAGCATTGCAAGAGCCGTTGGGTTTAATAAACCACAAGTCTATCGGTTTTATGATCAGCTCCACCAACTACAAGATAAATACAAATTCCCTGCTTCCAGAATATACAATGCTGATGAAACGGGGGTCTCCACTGTACACAAGAATGAGAAAGTTATTTCTACTAAGGGAAAAAAGCAAGTTGGCAAGTTGACTTCTGGTGAAAGAGGACGAAACATTACATTGATGTTTGCTATGAGCGTGTGCGGCCATTTTATACCTCCACTTTTTATTTTCCCGAGGAAAAGGATGGATAAAAATGGTCGTTTGATGATTGGAGCTCCACCAGATAGCATTGCTATTCCACACGAAAGTGGTTGGATGAATGGTGAGATATTTTTAATGTGGCTCCAGCATTTCAAACAGCACGTACAGCCTTCGAAGGAGAACCCTGTCCTTCTGATTCTCGATGGACATGGAAGCCATAAAGAGTTGGCAGTGATAGAATTTGCTCGAGCTAATCACATCCATATGATTAGCACTCCACCACACACAACACACAAGGTGCAACCTCTGGACAGGGTATTTTTCAAGCCGTTTAAGTCTGCATTTGGTTCAGCAAGCGCAATGTGGATGAGACAAAATCCAGGGGCTAGGATCACTGATTATGACATCGCTGCTTTAGTCAATTCAGCTTTCGTTAAGGCAGCGAGACTAGAAATAGCACAGAATGGGTTCAAATGCACAGGGATTTATCCATTCAATAGGGAAATTTTCAGTGATTTGGATTTTTTGCCATCATTGATGACCAATATTGAACAGGAACCAGCTTTTTCTGAAGAGACAGTCGTGGGATCACAGTTATCAACTAGTTGCAATCAGCAGAAATCCAGATGCTGCAATCAACAGTCATCCTCTAGTGGTACCCAGCAGCCATCCACAAGCTGCACCCAGCAGCCATCCACTAGTTGCACCCAGCAGCCATCCACTAGTTGCACCCAGCAGCCATCCACTAGTAGTAACCAGCAACCATCTACCAGTCTTATATCACACCCATCAGCCAGTGGCAATACGCAGCCATCATTTATGCCCGCATCAACGTCAGAAATTACAGAATCAACTGCACCTGCTACTGTAAATGAATTGCTTAAGCAGTTGTCCCCTCTTCCCGATGCATCCAAGAGGCGTCTTGCAGCGCGTTCACGAAAAACACAAAAAAGTGAGATTCTGACATCTTCGCCCTTCAAAAATGCGTTGGTAGAGAAAAAGGCTGCGACCAACACAACCAAGGCTGCAACCAATAAAACTACAACGAATAAAAGAAAGGCGGCAACTAATAAAATGAAAACAAAGAAGAATATTCAAAGTTTGACTCAGCTAGAAAGAGACCACGATACAGAATGCATCATTTGTGGAGAAACGTTCGAGGAAGATTGGATCCAGTGTCATAGATGCAAAGACTGGGCGCACGAAGCGTGTGTGGATATTGATCCATCGCTGGCTTACTACTATTGTGACGTATGCAAGGCTAAAGAACGATTTGGTCATCAGTAATTCTATGTCCGGGGCTACCCTCCAAAAATTATTTTAACAAATATTGAAGACTGCTTTTGAGACTTGATTTAAGCTAATATAATAAAACTATCAGTTTCTAACTTAATTAATATTATAAGATATATGTTTAGTTTAAGTTAAAGTTTAAAAATAAATGTTTATTTCGGTTGATTTTCAAGATATCATGAGTTTTATTTATGTGGCCGAGGCTACCCGACTCTCCCCTAATTATTAGTACTACTTCTATATTAGAACTATATATTTATAGATGATATCTGCCTTCTAAAAATAACGAATTAGATTACGTTGTAGGTCGATACTCTTCAAGGCTTATTGAATCAAACATGTGTTTTCGTGATTATGATATTTTTTTTAACTTAAATGACTATATTCACTAAACCCGGTTCGCTAATAAAGAATTATTATTTAATGTTCTAATGCAGTAGATAAAATACTAAATAATGGAAACGATTCTGAAAAATCATTCTTTGTCTTTATCTCTAAAATTAAATTTTCAATGTGATGATAAAGATGTCATTATACGACACCGTTATTCTAGGAGTCAGTATAAACTAAATTTATAATGGGCTAATATTTGCTCGTAATTTCATACGCGTGTATTTTGGAATACTACTACGACTACTACTAGATTATAAGTTAGACCTTCAGGAACATAGCTCTGAATACCGTATTAAATTTAGTATAGTACATTTTGCGAAATACCGAAACAAGGCAAACAAAGGTTCTAAAAATTTTGTTTTTTTTTTTCTACTACTCTTTTTAAGATCTCCCATATCTAATTTTCTTAAATATCTCCTATGTACTAGATCTATCTCATATGTAATTATATTTGTAAGTTTTAAGTTAGATAATATAGATACTTCTATCGGATTAAAATCTTACAAATATAATTATATTGTAAGAAGACGATTTATGTACATATTCAAATTAATTTTATCATTTCTAATTAATGTACTCCAAAATCCAAATTTAGACTTAAGTATTCTAAAATTATAATTGAGTAATAATAAGTTAAGGCTACCTGAACATCACCAGGATAATACTGAGGAGATTGTAAATAATTAGTCCCAGAATTCCCGCCGGATCCTTGATTAAAGTTAGGGTTTAGTTGGTTAAAAGGGCCACTATAATCAAAAAATCTTGATTTAATTTCAGGCGTAATTTCGTTCTTTTTTTCCGTGGTCATTGGTTTTTCAGTTTCAGTCTTTTTAACACTCTCAGAAGCAATAAATGGAAGTAATATACATACTGTAAGACAATACAGAAAATTATTTTTTAAAATTTCAAATTCAACTGTAATTAATTATCGATCTGATTTGCAGTGGGGCAACAGAACATGAAACAGCGTTCATACATGTGACCTTAGAGTTATAAAGTAATTTTTTTTTAGATTTCTTAGTTTTAAATTTATTTATATTCTTCAAGAATTTTACAAAAAAAGACAGCCACATAAATACATTCATAAAATAAGATGAAGAAATGCAAAACATTTATCACATATCAAATGTATGTATACATATGAAATCTATAAAGATAATGTATATATTAATATATGATTATTACAAAGTAATATTTATTTATTATATACAGTATAGTAAATATAGATGTATATAAAGTAAAAATTAAAAAATAGCAAATTCTCAATCCGAATGCCACACGCAAAATCCCTGATATGACATATTATTATAAACTTACCTATTATAATTAAAAATAATAAAAATAAAACTACAATGTCAGCTTTCAAATTATGTTTAAAGATTCATTTTGGATTAAGGATGGGAGAAGATAGATTATTCCAGCATTTTGTGGCGAAATATTAAAAACTGAAATGTTAATGTGTTAAATTGAGAATAGATCAGACGCGGGCAAGACAGTTCATAATTTCAAATAAAAAAAATTATCATATGAATAATAGGTAACTAACAATAAATATCTAAATACGAGTAAACACATATATCAAAGTATACAAAAAACTTACTTATTAGAAACCATGTGAATGTCTGATTACTTCGGTCAACAGCATTCATTTTAAATACAGTTATTTGAATAACGCAAAATCAAAACATCAGCTCTGTGTGAATTTGATTAAAACTAAACGTTCACTGGCGATCAAACAAATATATTTAATTGTAGTCATTAGCATTAGACATAATGGCTTTTTAAATTATAAGAAGATACGTGATTGGTTAGACCTATATTGCATTATAATGCGAATGCGTAATACTAATAGACACATATTTACAAAGATATTATAAATATTAAAAGCTATATTTAGTATAGAACTTATTCACTCTTTATGTACCCACGCACATGGTAAAACCAAGTTGCGAGTGGATAGGAAGTATACCTACTACTCGTATAATATATGTACCTACTACAAGCGCGTATCTACTTCACAACAAATTATATGTGCCTACCCACGATGAATAGGGTGTATCATAGTGAGCATCTACATAGAATCAATAACTTATTCTTTATTTATTTATTTATTGTAGGGTACGTAGATAATTAATTCCGCTTTCTATAAATTTGTGAGTAGGTAAGATAGTAAATAGATATGAGTAGATAACTACCTATTTATAATCAGAAATAATCTTATGGTTATTTTAGAAAACAACTATTTAAATGCCTAAGCTTTAAAATCTACGCAAACAATGTTCTTGCATAAGAAGCATTGTGATGTGCCGAGTCGTTTGAGAATCTATTTGGTTATCTAAAAAATAGTCTATATGAAAATAACTGGCTGTTGGTGTTTTTATATTAATTATAAATTATATTGCCTTTATAGAGCTAAATATTTAAAACATGAATAATTAAATTTTAATTTATTAATTATAATAATAATTTAAAAATATTATAATAATAATTAATTATAATTTTGTGACTTTTTTTTTAATTGTAAGCAATACGTGCATATGTATATTTATATCAGAAAATTAGAAATAGTTTCCAATTCAAATTTAACTAATCGGTCTCATCAGGTATTTTTATAATTTAATCATACAACATTTCAAATTTTGAAAAAATCAACACAGAGCATAAAAGTAAGCGCAAGTTTACCACACTATTGTCATCCATTAAAAAAATCAAGCCAACGACAGTTGGAACAGTACGTTATACCGGAGGAAAAGGGATTGTTAGCAATGGAGTTTGATAGCTCCGTTGCTAGCAATATGCCCTATTAGGTCGACCTCCACGTGGTTCCCCCTGAAAACCATCATGACCAATTCTTGTTGAATTCGTCACGATGGGCTAACTGACCTGCTTTATTCTCATCTATCATCCTTTACTGATGCCCCGCCCATGTATACCGATAGCGCGGATGGGGTTACCATTCCATTATCACCCATTAAAAAAAAAGTATGTTGGAACATTGTTGTTGAAATGACGTTTTTGTATGAAACTATGTTACCAAACTGTATTCCATCATGGCAGAATTGAATAGGTGCTGTAAACGTCAGAATTTTGGCGCCATTTCTAAAACAGTGGTTCACCTATAAATATTTTTTTAAGTTAAAATAACTAATATGTATTTTTATAAATTACGTAGTAATAAACAAAAATATAAATACATTTGTGTTCAATGTAACATAATACAAAGAATTAATGACGTTTTAGCATAATTTTCAATATATATGAACCAGTGAGTAAATAATAATTATAAATAATATAGTTAAGTTTAATTAAAGTTTGCATGCATTATGTAATTTATTTAATTACTTGGTCATATAGTAGTGGAGCAAATTTTTATGCAACATTCCCAAGTTTGATGAACACTGGTAAAATTAATTAAAATCCATTAGTGCCTACCATGGTTCCTACTATTTATTTATGTAAATTCAAATTTAATTATAAGTGATATAATACAAAGATAAATAGTATTTAAATCTACATCTGTACGAAATAGATAATTTTTTTTATGACAACAATCGATAAAGATATTTTGGACGGATGCATATATAAATAGTGATATTCACAACACTATAGAGTTTCATTTATTAATTTGTTTTATAATTTTCATTAAGTTGCTACTTCAAAAATGTGACATGCATTTAAATTTTCGAGGTGTCGTAGATATAAGGCCACTGCCAAGTCTTATAACGTAGTAATTACTTGCTCTGTGATACTAATTTAATTACGCGATAACGCACTAATGTGCCTTTTTGTCTTTTTTGTCTCCATAATAATTTAGCATTAAAAATTATAATATGAATTAGCACTGTAATTTATTTAAACTACAGTTATATTTTTACTAAAATAAATAAATTTTACTTCATAAATCTAAAATGTCTTTCTTGTCCGTCAGAAAAGAATGTTATAGAAGAATTATGAACGTATGCATAATGAAATAGTAATAGAGTTAAATCATTAAGCAATCGACCAAATAAGAATATTAGTAACATAACTTTTCATTCGTGCGGATAATGTAAACTTAATGCTAAATACTAAAAACTGGATTTTATCAATTCACAATTAAAACTTATGATTGTAATATTAAATCTTATTTATTTGTGAAAAATATTTATTTTTATAGATCATTTCATCGACATAAACGAAAATAAAACAATATAGTTTGTCTTTAATATATATTCATTAATTAATTCACAGTTTATATAGAAAGTATGAAAGCAGGTTGTATCTGAATTTAGTAGGATTATACGGTCGTATAACATTTTCAATACATTAGTCTGCTATGAATTGACATTTTTATCATTCGACTATATAATTCCTTAATCTTAGTTTATTATCATATTTATTAGGACCGCAAGTAGTATACTTGATCTACGGTTTTGTTGTTCCTATAAGAGTCGGCACTATACTTGCATTCCTGAGTTTCTGGAAAATTAATATATGCAGGTACCTAAAAGGCAAAACACAACTGAATATTTACAATGTGAAAGTATTTATAAAGCAACCAAGGTCGCTTATGAACATTTTACTCTAATTTTACATTTTATTTTAATGTTCAAATTTATCCGATTGCATAAATAAATTTTTTGTTCGATGTGACGGCGGTCTGCATTATTTGATTAGATAAAAATCAGTAAATTCCAGACATATTATCATATTGAAGACTAGGCAGCATGGTCTCCGACCTTAGCCTGTTCCACAATGGAACAAACGTACTAAAAAAAATCAGTAAAGTAAAAATAGTTTTTGTAATCTGTAGTAAATTAAAAAAAAAAACTTCTCCATGTTTCCAGACTACGATTGAATTGCGTTAAATTTCCTTTTTTTATAATTCTCTTGTGAAAAATTTAATTTCAATTCTTTAAAAGGTATATAATACAACAGTTAATTCTTTATTTTAGTTCTCTTAAAATACTAAATTACTACATAATTACCGAGGTCTGTTGTTAATTTAATTGTTCATACCGGTCATTTTTGTTTTGCCGGCAGCGAGACAATAAAAATGAGCTGCCCGATTAACGACGAGCATATAGTCCAGTTGAAGGTTTTCGTGGAGCTCTGCAAAAATCAACCTCAAATCCTTCAACATCCAAAGTTAACGTTCTTTAAAGATTACTTGACTTCACTTGGGGTCACACTACCTACCGCCACATTTGGTGCTAAGAATTTTGCCCAGTCTGGTGACACGTACGTATCTATATATAATTATAATGCAATTCAATTTTACAAATTCTTTTATCTCTCCTCCAATTTTCAACTTTTTAGTTTTTTACAACAAATTTGTTAGTTTTCATCTTGACATGAAATAATGAATGTCATGGAAAACTTTATTTGCAAGACAAAATAAATATCACTTTATAGTCCAACATATTGCTTATTAATAAGTATTTATTTAATCAACTGTTTAAAATCTGTAATTAGATAGATTATAGATACTACTGACAAGTGTTTTTCATAATACTTAACAGAAATCACTTTTTCACCTTTTTTCCTCAACATATAAATTTTTATTCATATGAAGTATGATAATGAACTTGTTTTACATGCATTATATAAGATATATATTTTTCAGTTAATCTATTTTAAAGAATAGTAAATAAGCTGATAGCCGTTACTTAGAATTAAAGCTATTGTTGCTTTTTGGGAATTAATAACAGATAAATAATAATTTTAAAATTATTAATTTAGTTAGATTTCAACGTTTTCTTTTTGAAAATTATGACCTCCACCTTTTGAGATGTTACTTGAAATTAACAGTTCTCTGGTATTTTTTTTTTTTTTTATTTTTATATTATGTCCAGCATTAATCTTTTTAAAGTTCAATTTACTAAAAATTCATAATTTTATTAATAGCTTAAGGTTTTTCTTACTCTGAGCATTTGAGTTTATGTGATTGTGTAGTACTTTTTTCAGGAATACTGATACTAATAAACCTGAGGACAATGCACAATCATCTAATGATGAATCTGAACCAGAATCTGAGGTAGAATTGGATATGGAAGGTATGTATTTTTCTTTTTATTAGGTATTCTTATTTTATTTATTACCTGTGACTTTATTTGTATGGCTGGATACATTGATGGCATAAATATTATATTATGTTCTTCTATGTCCAAAATAGAATGTGTATACCAGACTTATGACATTGAGTTGTTAACATTGCTGACTGAAAATTCCATTACGGTTGAAATCTTTGGAATTAAATTAAAATTGTGATAAAAACCTAAATATAAAGAAAAGTTTTTAAATAATTTTTTAGACAAAGTTTTCAATGCAAATTTTTTTTTCAGCATAGATAATATCATGTAGTTTCCAAAACCTTCCTTCGATTTCCTATACGATCATTATTTCTAGAGTTATTGATTGTCAAAGTTAAAAAGTACTTTTTTGCTTTGACTGACGATAACTCAACGGCAAATCATCCTACAAGCTTTATGATTACATAAAATTAAAGAGTATTAAATTTTCTAAAAGAGCTATTGAAAGAATCAATGAAAAACAAAAAAATTAAGCCTATAGACCTTTTTTAACTAAGAAAAAATTTTAATATATTTGTTTGGTTCATTTCTTAGGATTACTCCAGACCCAAACATGATAAAAAATATTCATGGTCATGTCTGAAAACTAGACACTTGGAGCTACATTTGTTTATTTTTTCTGTAAGATCATTTTTCTCACAGTTATAGCTTGTTGAAAATCACCCAAAAATTTGAATATTTGTGACTAGTGAAAAGAGCATATTCCTTTTTAAAAGGCCAACAGTATATATTGAAATTAATCCTTGAACAACAAACTGTGTTTAAAATTAATTTATTTGAATTATAAGTTAAATAAATTTAAAAAAAGGTTGACGATTTCAAAATTCATATATGAAATTTACAATACAATACAATTAGTTTTAAATCACCTTAACAATACAATTAGTTTTAAAAATACTGCATGTATTTTTAAATTTATATGTATTAATGTAGATAATACAATACACTTTATATTATAGGTGTCATTGAACCAGATCTAACAGATGAATCACAGACTATGGGTGATTCGGCAAGGGAAGTAACAGACGAGGAGCGTGATCAATCTGATGAAAAACGCACAGAAGCTATGAGAGCATTCTCTGAGCAACAGTTTGATGAAGCTATTAAATTATACAGTGAGGCCATACAATTAAATCCACAGAGTGCTTTATTATTCGCAAAGAGAGGACAGGTAAGTAACCAAATGAATCAAGTGACTTGATTCCATGTACGAAAAACGTGTAAGAAATCCTGTAAAATAAGAAAATCTAGCAGTTTGTTCTATTTAAAGAAATGTCTTGGTCAATCAAACAGGATTACACTACTACTAATAAAAAGTTCTTCTGTGCGCTATTTAAACGTAGCAAAATATGTGATACTACTAAAGAATACAATTCCGAGATCCCAAATGACAAAGGCAACAAACCGTTACATATGCAGTTATAATAATTATATATAAATTTATTGTATAAATTAAAACAAATAATTAAAAATAATTTTTGTGTCATCACAGAGGCCAAAAATAAAATTGTCATTAACCTTCTACAAAAAATTCTTATGTAATACTCATAATAAGAATAAGATTAAAATCTTATATTACAATTGATTAATGATGACATTTTTTTTTATCTGTGGTTATTCAAAACTAATGTTTAATTATTGGTTTTAATTTATATAATAAATGCATATATAATTATCATAGATGCATATATAACGGCCAGTTGCCTTTGTCATTCGGAATTCCGGGATTGTATTCTCTAGATACTACTATTACTATTATTAAGATATTTTAAACAAATAATTTATGTAAATTTTTATTTTAGATCTATCTGAAACTGAACAAGCCAAATGCCTGTATTAAGGATTGTACACGAGCGCTTGAACTCAACTGTGATAGTGCTGCAGCATACAAATTTCGTGGACGTGCCTATAGGTTTGTATATATTTTCTTTTCATAACTTAATATTTCTATCGTTTTAATGAAGTTAATAATTTTTAGCAGATCATACGTCTATGAAGCCTGTGACTATCAAAGTAAATATAAACATAATTATCTCAAAAAACAACTGATTTTTAGAAATAATTCTCCTAAATTACTAACAGTGTAGGAAGCAATATTTATTTTACACTGTCATCTTTCACCTATCCTCAATATATTCACATTAACAAAAATATATATAGCGTGATATACATGCGAAAAAAAAATACAAGTCACTGTCATAAGCTGTAATAGTTGTTAATCGTCAAGAAAGTATGTTTGTTTGTGGAAGCAATTGTAAAAAAAAAACCTTTTAATATTAAAAGTTTCATAAATGCGCATTATATTTCAACATAAGAATAATCGAATTGACTTACGTTAAGCGCGCAGTCAGGCTTTCACTCACGTCACAGCAGATCATAACTAAGGGCTCTGGATGGTTATGAAACTAGCAAAGCATTCTGGTTTTAAAACTAGTAAAACATTCTCAAGTACATTTAAGTCAATCCTGGTATACATTAAATATACCTTTGTTTGTAGGTTATTAGGAAAATTTGAAGAAGCCTCTCATGATCTCTGCGAATCACTGAAGATTGACTATGATGATCAAACTAATGAATGGCTGAATGAAGTGAAACCAAATGCTGAAAGACTACGTCAACACAAGCTCAGTGCACAGCGTAAAAAGGAAGAGAAAGAGGTATAATATTTATATATAGTTTAGGCTTCCATAAATATAAATCTATCAAAAACATAAATGTAAAAAAGGAGTCAAATCTATATTGAAAATATCCACTTCACCATCAAAAGAATTGACAGTTAGATATAGAAAATTGTGGAGGAATCTGAATATTTTTGTTTAACCAAAGCTCAAGTTTGTCGTCAAGCTTTCTGTATGTATGAATCCTAAATGAGAATACTATAACCAAAATTACCAATCTGGTTAAGGATTGACCCGTCTCTCCTCTCTTCTGCTATATGAAGTTATGATCTGAAATGTATATATTATGTAGATGTTATTTTACGAAGTCCATATCACTGGTTATTTTATAAGTATTATTTAGTATTCTACTAACATTAGTAGACCACCAACATTTAATGCTGAAATTTACCAAAAGGAGACTGTACAAAAGTCATTTGCTTGGGCACCTCTGTCGCATTCACATTTCTACCATGAAGCAGTTCTGTTTACATACCACATGGTCAAAAAAATATAAAAATAAATAGTTATAAAATTCCCTAATATTTTCAATACTAAACTACACAGCTCAAGGAAAGAATTCTACTGCATGATTAACTAGCGTTTAACACTAATCATTAGTGCTGGTTTTTGAAAGAAGGACCAGAGACTTTGTGCAAAAGTCGTTTGCTTGAGCGCCTCTATCCCATTCGTGTTTCTACTGTGAAGGAATTGTGTTTGCATGGCTGTGTTTCGGTTTGAAGGGTGAGATATGGCAGTGAATTTACAGGGTGTAGAGGAATAACACCTGAGTCCTCGGAAATGGCAACGCATTGGGAGTATTATGGGCGAAATAGTATACTCTGCTATGTCCATGGTACTGCTCATGTCTACAGGCGACCATTACCATTTTCTATCAGGTAGGCGGTCAGTTTGTTTATCATTTTAAATTGCATAATAAAACTATTAGTATATAGCCTTTGTACCTTGTCTATCAGTTAATATAATCGGCAATCACAAGTTGGCTTATAGGGTAAATATAGCAAAACATTTTTATAAAAAGTTACTGTTTACAATGTGTTCATACAAATGTCTATCAACACTATTATTCATCATTTTATAAAAACATATTAATAAAATATATTTAATTTCAAAAGTTAATTACAAACTTGTTAAATAGGAGATTTCTTGTAACAAACATTAAATAAATTGTTATTTAATGATAACAAGTAATCTACTTAAGAACACCGACATTAAATAAAATAATATTTTTCTATAATCATATGGATGTATGTAATTGTAAATACCCAAACACACTAGTATTTATATGAAGGAATTTTAGAAGTAATATTGTATAAATATAATTATCATAGCACCGTGAAAAAGTGCGACGTGCTCGCAAGGCACAGGAAGCACGAGCTCGGGCCGCGCATGCACGCGAAGCGGACTCGAGAGGATCTGGCGCCGGAGCCGGCGCCGGTTTCCCCGGAGCCGGCGCTGGTTTCCCCGGCGGATTCAACCCACAGGACTTCAGCAACTTACTATTCGACCAGGAGATCATGGCCGCCTTTCAGGTATGACTAAGAACCCAGGACATATCAATAAATAAAAATAGAATGGTACACACCCCCCCCCCCCTAAATACGATTGTTTCCAGGAAAGGACTGTATGAACATTGACAGAGTATATTTCTTTGACCTCTTGGCTCTATAACATTCACAACCTTTATAACATTGAGCTTTCACATATTATTTAACATAGATAAGAGACAGGTTTCTTTTTATTGTTTTATTGAATCATGGGAACAAAATTACAACAAGTCATTATATAATTTAATTTAATTTTCAACATAGTATACCAAAAAATACAATGTGGCCTTGAATATATTTATTTTTAAAAACTAATTAATATCATTCTTAATTATAAATTACAAGTATACTCTAATTACAACTTAACTTTTACAGGATCCAGAAGTTGCTGCAGCATTTCAAGATGTCTCATCAAATCCAGCTAATTTCATCAAATATCAAAATAATCCTAAAATTGCTGCTGTTATAGAGAAACTACAAAATAAATTGGGCAAAGGTGGTGCAGGAGGACCCTTCTCAGGTGGTTTCCCAGGTAAATTCCCTTATATTTGTCGCATGATGCACCATCAAAAATATTAATAACAAAATGTTAATAACATTTAATTATCCTCTAATTACCAGTTTTAAACTAATTTCAAAAGGGATATTTTAAAAGTTTAATTGCAATTATATTATTTATGTATTGTTATGCAGTATCTCAGTCAATTATAAACCATCATTAATCATAATCATTATAATTATAATTCTTTTTTAGATTAAAACTATTGATCCCTTATTGATCACCCATACTAATTCGACCGCTCCTGCTACGCAATCGTGTACCAATTTTATTTTTCTATATGATTTTTCAAACATTTTGTTTCATACAAACTTTGTCCTTGTTTGTAATTAAAACTACAGAAAAAGGACTAGCCAAAATAGATGCAACTATTTTGCAGTGATGCTCTTATATATATTCAGAAATTTATTTATTTTTGTATAAATAATACATTATTATTACAATAATTTACATACGTGTATATATGAGATTTTAATATTCTGTTTTTATATTATCACTTTGTGGTATGTCCATGTGTTGACTTGAGTGATAAAATCTTTCTCAATTTTTTTTAGGTTTTGGAGCCGCTGGTGGACCTGGTGCTGGTGCCAAGCCTCCAACTGACGATGACGTTGGTCTCGACTAAAGAATTTTACATATATATTCCTTGCATTTATATAGCAACATGAAGCAAATTACACGCATCGTAAAGATATGGACGCCTTAAATATTTTTTTTAATAATTAACCATATATCTTATAGTACTAGATCGGTGCTGGGGGTCTATATGGTAATTAATATTTACTAATTTATGTTATTGTATTTCATTGAATAAAGTATTAGCTTTACATTATTAAAAACTGGGACTGATGTAAATTTAATGCCAAAAGATTGAATGTAATGTTTTCTTTCTTTCTATATTATGTATAATTACCATCATTATTCTAGCCGCATTTCCAATTTGTTTTCCTTATTTTGTACCATGTCAAGATTACTCTAATTCGAAGTTAATAAAAATTTCTAACTTATTGTTAAGATATTACCCAAAACATAAAAAATCTCATGAAATTATTAATCCTTTCTTGGATATCCTACAAGCCGATAATAAACAATCTAAGTAATATTCGCTACTATAGTATAACACTATTCTTATTATAGCAATAATAGATTGCCTTGATACAGATAATAAAAAAAAAATTATATTCTGTTATTATCGGCATATAATACAAGTGCATGCATTTCAATAAACTAGGAAATAATGCCATTTAGTTGCACTTTACATTTAATTATTATAATATAGACTTAATAATTTCATATTTGAAAAACTTTAAATTTTCTCAATAATGTTATTTTTTGTGTTATTCATTATGATGAATAAATATTATGCAAATATTTGATCTTTTAATTACCCTTATATAATTAACAAAACTTACAAACTTCGTCTAATCTAATACAAACGAAGTATAACGTAGCTGTTCTAAAATAAGACAACCATTTTAAGATATTGTGCCGTATGGTCCCGGCATAGAATAGGACACACCGTGGGTGTGATAAGAGACTTAATGGTCGAGGAATTGCCAGCAGTGTTGCTCTTAAAACATCACTAGCGTAACTAAGATTGCCAACCCACCTGCCAATCGTGGCAACTACTGGCAAGACCTCTCATATGAGGAAAGCCCGTGTTCAGCAGTAGAGAGTTAACAGTTGATATCATAATGACAATTTTAAAATGTACCGTTATATGTGTATGGTGTATTGAACACATATTTCGCTCATAGACGTATTATAACGTACTCTACAATTCTGCTGCTGCAATTTATTTTTAATTATTATCATTATAAAAAATTATATCAGGTATTGTTTAATATATACATCTTTATTGTTGAACATAATCCCTCATAAATGTCAGTCTCGTCTCCCTGCAAGTGATTGGTCAATCTAAAAAAGAGTGGGAGAGGATGAGGAAGTTGTCATTTAAAATTGAAAAGCCAATTTATAACAATCCATTTTTATTCAAATAAAAAGTGATTATACATCATTTACTCTACCCCATCCTAATCTAATCTTCTTTTCATGAAGTTTCAACCAAGACGGCATACTTTTAGGTAATGGGTGAGCATTGGGGAACTTTAATGGAGGTGGTGGTGTCTTGAAGGGATCTTCATTTTTCAACTTCCGTAACAAGTATTCTTTATTTATTTGTTTCGGATCACGGTACTTGTCCATGTAGATATTGAAGGGCTTACGGCGAGGGAACCACTCTTGCGGTCTTATGTAAGGTTCTGGGAAATCGTACTCGTAAACTGGAAATTAAAAAATGTGGTTTATATAAATACCTGGTAAATGTAAGAGATAAATTTCATGCATAGACTATTGATATGTGGCACTGATAACTTTATGACTGGACCCTAGCGATGCGCAAACCCGAAATATTTTGTCATTCCTATAATTACTAACATTATAATTCAACTACTATATTAGTAATATACTATCCATATTCGAATGAAAAACATTCAAATATGGAAATTAATATATTAATTACCAATTAGTACTAATTACAACAAAGTCCTTTCTCTGCATCCACTACTAATGAAACACAATGTCGGTAATGACGACGACGAAAAAAACGCTATTACATCAATTTCCTATGCATTCATTTGTACTACACATAATAAATTATTTCTAATGTACATAATAAGTATTGCCTAATAATTTCCTACTTACTTAAATAATAACTATCGCAATTTGGTATAAACAATTTTTTACTAAAACTACTATCGAAAATTAGTAATTGTTACTTAATTTAAATTGGCAACAATCTCGCCCATTAACAAAAAAAGACATTCCAACGATTGGGTCGACACAGCTATGTTTATATCGACTCGTACATCAACGACTACTAATGAATAAAATTAGTAGTCGAATGATATTAGTAGTCGAATAATTTGAAAATCATTCGAATAATCCAAATAATTTACTCAGTCAAATAATTAGTAGTCGGATTAATAGTCGCGCATCGCTATTGAACCCGTGTATAGGCGTAGATAGTCCAGCCAACCTAAGCCTCTCCAGAAAGCAGCTTTGAATTCTGCAAAGCATGAATGATGATGGAAATCTCGTAACAGAAAAGATATGTGTCTCACTTTCGATATAAATATTTTTTGCCTTCTTTATAACCTTCTAGCCACCCGCACGTTTCACACGAACATATAAAAAAGATAAATTAGTGCTTGGATAAAATAACAACAGTATTAAGCGCAAGGCTGTTCACTCACGCCGGGAGATTTTTTTTAGATTTTACATTTTCCTAGGCCTCGTGAGTTTTAAACAAAACGTCTGATTCAAATAATTTAGAGAAATTTACATGTATACAATCAACTTGATTATGCAACTATTTAGTTAGATAAATATTAATATCATAATAGGATTGTCGTCATCTTTCGAGTCAGTATTATTTATTATTTGACCAAAAACTGTTTATTGTAACATACCTAATTAGAGTTAGATATATAGCTTCGCCATCATTTTTGAATAATATTCGCAGCGTACGACAAATAATTACTTATAGGCAAATTTAGGACACCTTGGATTACATTACTGTAATGTTTAGAGATATTTCCAATTTTTTTGAAAATAAATTACTTGCAGATAATGTTAAGCAGTTTTTAAATTTATACAAACTAATCTTTCCGCTTTATAACAGTGTATAGAAGTATTTAGTTAACAAAATATATTGATGTAATTAAGTATCTAATACTACTTATACAACTTACTAGGTTCCTTGATATTTAATTTATTATGAAAGAAGTCCTTAACGCTGTCATCCCAATCAGTCTGATAGAATGCTAATCCTATTGGAGTAATGTCATCTTGATATTTTTCATACCAATCTCTAGTTACAAATGTTCTGGCTTCTAGTGGAGATGACGAGGTTACTGAAAATAAAATATGGATTAATAATAATCTCATTCCTAATAAATTTGATAACAAAATATATTTTAAAATTTAGCTGTAAAAGAAAAAAAAAAAAAACATATCTAAAAAGTTATTAAGTAATAGCATTACTTTTATTAAAAATATGAACCTGTCACGAGTACTCAAGATACTACGAACTGGGTAGCACTGTAAAAATATACCTATTAATATGACAGTTTTTTAGTTTAAAAAACGAGAGAACAACTGAGTACTGCTGACCATTATTTTATTAAAAACTACCTTTTTCCCTGCTACTTTGTATGCATAAATTTCAGAAATACAAAATTCAACAAATTCTATATGGCGTATTAAGATAAAATATACACTAGTTTTTACCACCACCAGCCACCACTAGTTTGTACCACGTTCAATTTAATGCCATAGTTTATATGTAATACCAGAACAAACATGCAGACAAAATTTCTAAAAATTATTGCTTTGTCTTTATTACCTTTATTAAGACCCCCTATATTAATTTTTTCTAATAGTTTCCATATACAGATATTGCCAGTTATAATTTTATTACATTAGTGAGACTATATGTAATTATATCAAGGAATAACTGGAGCATACAATTTACAAAGTGTTTGATCTGCATAGTAACAATTTTGCATTTAATGTAGACTTTATTATTTTGTTGTTTGTCATTATATTTTTTGGTACAGATATCCAAAATTTTAATTTTTCCTTAATCATCTTGAATTTTTTTTTTGAACATTGTAATGTTCAAAAAAAAAAATATATATATATTTATTCAGTGTGCCCAAGAACAAGATATAAAACAAATATATATAACTAGTTGATATATGGAGTCATCATATCAACTGTTAACTGTCCACTGCTGAATATAAGCCTCCCCTATAAGGTGGGGTTATGTCAGTAGTTCGCCACACTTAGCATACAGATTGACAATTCTATGCCAGGAGGACATGGATAGTATATGGAGTATTTATTATCAAATATAAAAAGCTAACAAATACCAAAATTGCAATACAATTTTTTGGTAAAAATTATAGACAATAAAAAAAATGCATCTATATACAATTTCCTTATAAATTAAAAAATCTTACAATGAAAATATATTATTGAAACATTATACCTTTTGGTAAATCATATGATACTCTTTTGCCTTGCTTATAAAGTACAAAAACATATCGGTGATATCCAGTTCCTTTCAATGGAAAGGGCTGTAAATATTCCACTATAGTGTCTCCCTTTTCCACAGCATCACCTGGTATATTAGCAATTAACCAATGGACATACTCTTTATTAGCCTCTGTTAAATGGCCATCCAAGCTTGTTAATGCCAAAGTCCATAAAGACTTTCCATCACTTTCAAAACCAACACTAGGATACTCAATTGCTTCTGCTGGTTTGACTACATTTCCAGAATAAACTGGTAACAGGGAGCCATCTTTTAAATTATAATAAATATCTAAATTCACAAATGGTATAAAATAACCTTCTCTATATAGATGCTCAAATACACCATAGTGATCAGCTATTTGTTTCTTTTGGTATGGTCCTGAAGTTTTGAGCCATTCATTTCTTGCTTTTGTAAGATCAATTTCCAATTTATGGTTCCGAGCCAATTGTTCTAAATTTTTATCACTTTTAATTTTTTTAATATGATCCAATCTATTTGTACGTAAATCAGCAGCTGATAATCTGTAAATATCACATCTCACATGAACTTAATAAATGTGATGCCAAGCAGTCTGCACATTGCAAATTCCTCAAGAATACATAGATTTAACTTTTTATCATATATGTTATTTATAATAATAATATATATATATATATATAATATTTGTTCTATAGATAGAACAAATATTCTTAATATATATGCTTATTTCGTGTATAATGTAGATATTATACATGAAATAAGCATTTTTTTTTAATTTTTGATGAATAATTACTTTTTTCAACAAATGACAATATAATTCCATCCATGATATTGTGATACCATGAAGCAGTTGTGTTATGATAATGATATTACAGGGTACAGAGGCATAATACTTTAGTCCTTAGGAGTAGCAATGCATGAAGGGTATCATGGGCAACACAGCATGCTCTATTATATTCATGATTTTAAGCAACAGTTACAACTTTCAGTCAGGTGGTCCGTCAGCTTGTTTGTCCCTCTAATTTGCATAAAAAAATATGCCTTTAATTGTCCACTACTGAACATAAGCCTCGCCCTTGGGGAGATTTACCAGTAGTTGCCATGTTTGGCAGGCGAGTTGACAAACACAATTACGCTGTGAAAATGTTTCATCTCTTAGTCGCCCCTTATGACACCCATAAAAAAGAAAAGGGTGACCTATTCTTTGCCAGGACTACAAGAAACAAAAAAATTTTAGTACAATATTGGAATATTCTATGAATTTTTTGTCATTCATAAAAGTTTCGTAAGTACACACTATATTCTGATTATAAGAAAAGAATACGTTAAGTCAATCCAATTTCCTTCTCACAGTAGAATTATATTCTATTAAGTTAACCTAAATTTCTTAGCTTACTTAATCAGCATTACTTACTTTGTTCGTGGGAATCCTATATCTATTCTTGTTGTATAAATTTCATCTTTGTAGTTCAATTCTTCTAATCGTTCCTTTATAGTTCTACAATAGATAGGAGCTTTACCTCTTATTCTGTGAGCAAATCGAACCTGTTGAAATTGTATATTGGCTATACATGCCCCGCGAAATGTTTTTAACATTATTAAAACTATAAATGTAAGTTTGACTAATCTTTTATTTTATATAATCCTAAGATCATCAGAGAAGAAAGATCAAATTTTAATATTTGTACTTAGGTAGATAAATAGATATAAAATGAGATTGAATAATGTAGTGTTTTGTATGGGAAACGGATGTCGTCGCTCATCTGTCGACTGTCATACGAGATGTCAACTTGACACATTTTTTCAACTAGGTATTAGATAGCAATCTACCTTTCGATATCGATGTAAGTAAGAACGTAATATCGCATCACTATAATTACTTTAATGAATACATAGGAAGTGTAATTTTTAATGTGATGCCACAACTGTTCATAGATCACTAGCTCATAATGAATACATATAATGAACAATACAGTATTGTTTAATTTTTTTTCATGCAACTTAGAACGGCTAACAACTAATGGGCCACCTGATGGGAAATGGTAACCATCATCTATAATCATGAACATAACCGAGAACACGGTGCCATGATATCCCTTATGTTGCCATTCCTGAAGACTAAGGTCTTATGTCTCTGTATGCTATGATTTCACTATCATATCCCACACTTCTAACCAAAACACAGCTATACGCAACTGCTTCATGGCAGAAACACGAGTGGATATTTATAGTAGTGTAGCTTATGAACGTATGTAATACCAGGGGTATTAAGCGCATGTTGCCGACCCTAAAGAAACTTCTTTATCTCTTTTTTGAAGAACCCTATATTGTAGTCTCTTAAAAAATTTCGACAGGGAGCTCATTCCATAATCTAAGTGGTCATGAGAAAAATATTTTTGAAACCGGGTTGTGCGCAACTATCTAGACTAAGGTGTGGGGGTGACTCTCTGTTGAGCTCTCCTGTTGACTCCCTGTTGATTCCCTGTGGAGCCGTATGATGCTAGAAAGTGGCCGTGGGCATCATATTGAATAATCTCTCTGAGCACAGTCCGTTGTACAAGCAGAAAAGCACGCAGAGTAAGACAAAATCTCAAATATTTAAACACAAAGACATAAAGGGTTCAATACCGTTTGTAAGCCTGGTATCATCGACAATTGTCATAGCTCGTCGTTGCACTGAGTGAAAGGGTTCAAGCTGGTATCTAGCTGCTCCTGCCCATAACTGGCAGTAGTATTTCATATGGAGTCGAATTTGCGTTTTATAGAGCATTGATTGCTTCGCTCTAGTAAGCACGCCGAATTTTTTGGATGCCACCTTTCAGAGACCTTTCACCTGAACAAAGACCTTGGCTAACATTCTCTCGATTTCAGACACAAACTGTTCTCGATTGGCCTCCACAATGGAACATTGGTGCGACCCGTATAATAGACATTCCCAGTACTGTCATCCGTCTGCAATTGCACGCCAGTTCGTCATGTAGAGAAAAGGATGTGAAACCTACCTATTCGTGTGATAATGTAATTTATGGGGCTATACCAGATTTAACTTTTCAAAGGTATGTGTGTATATATTTTTTTTATACAACATAGAATAGCAAACAAGCTAACGACCCACCTGATGGAAAGTGGTAACCGTCGCCTATAGACATGAGCAGTACCATGAACATAATAGAGTATACTGTTTTGCTCATGATACCTCCCATGCGTTGCCATTGCTGAGGACTTAGGTGTTATTCCTCTGTACCCTGTAAATTCACGCCATATCCCACCCTTTAAACCGAAACATAGTCATGCAAACACAACTGCTTCACGGTAGAAACACGAATGGAACAGAGGTCCCAAGTAATCGACTTTTGTACAAAGTTTCCCTCTAGTATATGAGATGTTTATATCAATAAACATCTTTTTATGTCAATTATAATCTATGATGTTAACCTATAATGAATTATAGAAATATTGAATAATCGGTAAAGAAGAATAATTATGTAGCATCTGGGTTTTCAGTATAAAACAAAAAAAATTGGAAACCAACCAAAACATAAAATTCCAAATATTTCAATCACAGCATATATGTGTTGAAAACATTTTGAAAAGCATGTCCATATTGAAGTTTAGCAATTATTTACAATAACAGTGTAAACTGTAAAGTAAATATTACAGTTTTATTATACAGAGTGTCCCGTAAGTAGTGGACCAACGGGCTATGAGGGGTAGTGAGACCTATTATCTAACAAAAATACTAAAACTTATAGTCTTAAGTCTTATGGTTATTAAGTTATGCTTTGTATTAAAAATGTGGTAAAAATATCCATATAAAATGTTATCATATTTGTTTTTTTATTTTATTGTTGTTTTTAGTTCAAGGTAGTTAAGAATACATAAGTCTTCCTAATTAAAATGCTATTCAAGCATATTGAACAATAACAAGAAAATTAGAACATGATCTAGTTGCAAACTTTACGTTTAAAATTTTTATAACTGAAATTTGAACACAGCTGGTGTAAAAATTTTTACGCTTAAGTCTGCTTTTGGTCTACTTTTTTATATATCTATGGTACATGCTGTCAGATAAAAAAAAGTATTTTCGAGTTATGGATGGATTTATACGGTAGAAAATATACCTGATTTGAGAACCTTCTTCTTTTTAAGTCAGTTGATAAGTGGTTCCTCCTGACCTAAAAACCATAGTATTTAATTCTTTTTAAGGTCGTTATGATGGGCCAATTTAACCTACATCATCGTTCTACAAAGACAACATCAACGTTCACTCGCTTATTATAATAAACTTAACTACATTTACTTAAAATTAATTTCACTTAAAACTTTAACTCCTGTTACTTTGCCACTGCCACTGCGTTAGGTTGACTGGAAGAAATCTCTTTTAGAGATAAGTTCGCCTTTGCTAACATTGTTATTAACTTATTGTTGTTACTGTATGTTTTAGTGCAATAAAGAATATATATATATATATATATATATATATATACTTTTTGTTGTTGCTCCTCCTAAATAAGCTTCGAGCTAATACAAGTATATAGGTGTGTGACCTATATGTCTATCTCGCTCTAACATATATGTTATTACGGTTACTCTTTTACATTAACAATGTAATTACTTCATAATTTAAGATATTTTCAAACTATGAAGATGATAAATGCTTACGATATATTAGGCACCAGTATTTTGTGAAGAATTACTATTTGAGTAAAAATATAATTTATTACGTAGTATGATTGTTTCCTGATTGCTGAGTCGGGGGAAAGGGATTGTTAGTAATGTGCAGTAATGACCACGTTGGTAGCAAGCCCTGTCAGGTCGACCTCCAGGCGGTTCCCCCTGGAAACCATTGTAATTAATACTTCTTGCATTCGCCACGATGGGCTAACTGACCTGCTTCTGACTCATCTATCATCTCTCACTAGTGCCCTGCCAGTGTATACCGATAGCGCAGGTGGAGTTAGCATTTCATTATCATCCATTAAAAAAAATTGCTGCATGCTTTACAGAAGTAGCAATCAAATGACAATATATGGTACTTCAGATTTGTCGTCAAATGACCACAGAGTACTGAATTTTTAATTGGCTTGCATTCTCTATAATAATTTAAGTATCTATGTTCTTGATTATCGTGATCGTCTTCGTGAAGATCTTTGTTGTTGGCACGTCACGTCACGGCATCGGCCGGTACGTTATACTATTGTATACATATATATATTATAAGTATTTATGTACCAGTTGGTGATCGATATCACGGTAAATAAATATGATTTAACAGTGAAAATGTTTATGTTTGAAACTTGTGTTGTGAAAATTTCTATCCTGTAGAAAGTGGACAATTTGTTAATGCTTACTTGAACATACCTAAGTACAAAAATAGTGAAATTATTGTAATCAATGTTTGCTTGTTAAAACTTAGGAGCCATTTACACATGGCGAAAAGTCACGTACACTTTATGAACGAAAAGTTCGTCGTAAACATTTGATAGTGGTTTTTGTTTGGATTTGTCATAATAAATGTATTAAAATGGACAGCAAAAATATTCAAAAAAATGCCATGCACAAAAGTGCTGAGTTTACTTTTACTCCACCACCCGAGGCACCTATATTTGAGCCTACGCCCGAAGAATTTTTAGATCCTCTGGGATACATTGCCAAAATACGTCCTGTCGCAGAAAAAACAGGAATATGCAAAATTAAGCCTCCAGCACGATGGCAGCCACCGTTTTCGTTGGATGTAGATAAACTGAAATTTGTCCCACGAATACAAAAAGTAAATGAATTGGAAGCCATAACACGTTTGAAATTATTGTTTCTCGAAAAGATTTTAAAGTTTTGGGATCTACAAGGTTCACCTCTGAAAATTCCCATGATAGAGAACAAAACCTTAGACTTGTATTGTCTTAAATTCTGGGTGGATGAAGAGGGAGGTTTTGAAAATTGTAACTCTCCGAAAAAATGGCGTAAAATTGCGAATGCTATGGGATATAGTCAAAACGCGAACACAATGAATTTTCTTAGATGCAATTATGAAAAAATATTACTTCCATATGAAATATTTGAAAAAAGCAAAGCTGACATATTAAAAACTGTTAAAAAGACCGAAATAAAAAATGAGGCAAAAGATGGCGAAACAGCTAAACCATTATTCAAGGCAATACCAGTAGAGTCTATAATAAAGACTAGCACTGAGGATGACATAGATGATAAGTCACATGTAGGAATTAAAAAAGCAAAAATTGAATCTGATACTATTGGAGCTGAAACTGAGCATACAAAGAATAAAATTGAAAGTGATGAAATAAGGCGTAACAGGGAATTGAGAAGACTAGCTTGTTATGGCCCAGGCCCAAAAATGCCTGGACTAAATGATGAAGAATTTGATATTACTAAGTCAAGAAAGAGACCTAGATATGATATGGATCCTTTAGCTATTTATGTGTGTGCAATTTGTCAAAAAGATAATAGGGATGATTTACTTTTGATTTGTAATGGTTGCTCTGATACTTATCATACATTTTGCTTGAAACCACCACTTAATTCAGTGCCAGATGGTGATTGGCGTTGCCCCTGTTGCATTGCGGAGGAGGTTCATAAACCAGCAGAGGCATTTGGGTTTGCTCAGGCTGAAAGGGAATATACTCTTCAACAATTTGGGGAAATGGCTGATAAATTTAAATCTGATTATTTTGGTATGTCAGGACATTTAGTACCTACAAATGTTGCTGAGAAAGAATTTTGGAGAATTATATCCTCAGTAGAAGAAGATGTAACAGTAGAGTATGGTGCTGATTTACATTCTATGGATCATGGTTCTGGCTTTCCAACAAAGTCTTCTTTAAATTTATATCCAAGTGATCAAGAATATGTTGATTCAGGATGGAATTTAAACAATCTTCCAGTATTGGAAGGGTCTGTTTTAAGATTTATTAATGCCGATATATCTGGAATGACTGTACCATGGATGTATGTAGGTATGTGTTTTTCAGCTTTTTGTTGGCATAATGAAGATCATTGGAGTTACTCCATTAACTACTTGCATTGGGGTGAAGCAAAAACATGGTATGGTGTGCCAGGGAGTGGGGCAGAACTGCTTGAAAATGCAATGAAAGCAGCTGCACCAGATCTTTTCAAATCTCAACCAGATTTATTACATCAACTAGTCACAATTATGAACCCAAATATATTAATGGCTGCAGGTGTACCAATATACAGAACTGATCAACAAGCAGGGGAATTTGTTGTTACTTTTCCTAGAGCATATCATGCTGGTTTTAACCAGGGATACAATTTTGCTGAAGCTGTTAATTTTGCACCTCCTGATTGGTTAAAAATTGGCCGTGAATGCATTATGCATTATAAAAATTTAAAGAGATTTTGTGTATTTTCACATGATGAGCTCATTTGTAAAATGGCCTTGGATGGTGATCGCCTTGATTTAGAAACAGCATTGGAAACACAAAAAGAGTTGGTACGTGCAACTGAAGAAGAAGGTACACTTCGAGCATTAATTGCAAAAAAAGGTTTAAAGAATGTATGCCGCACAGCATTTGAATTGCTTGGAGATGATGAACGCCTTTGTGAAGTGTGTAAAACAACATGTTTTTTGTCTTCAGTCTCATGTGCTGATTGTAAACATATGGCATGTTTACAACATGCAAATACATTTTGTCAATGTGCTATGGAAAAAAAGACTCTTAATTATCGCTATGATATGGATGAGTTGCATATTATGTTACAAACAATTGATTTAAGAGTAAATAGTTTTGATAAATGGATGAAGGAAACAAAAAACATATTACTCCCTACGGCACCTGATATTGGTAGACTCCAAAAATTAAAAGTTTTGGTAGATGAAGCTGATGATCTTAAAATACCAAACTGTATTTTATTAACACAATTGAAAAGTGAGTATACCAAAGCCACAGAAAATGTGGAACCAATTGTAATAGAATTAGATGATGATTGAAAATTTACTGTAACTTGTGTATTAGTACAAAATTTTACATTCTTATAAAATTAGATTACATCTCTTAAACTACACCTATTTTTATGTTCTGATGGTAATATTGCAAGAGAATTTTATTTTTTCTAATTATCATCATAGATAGGCAGCTTGTCATTGATTGTATAATTTTGATTTAATTTTAAATTATATGTCTATTTTTGAACTTAAATTGATGCTACGAAATATACCTTGTATTTTTTTTTCTTAAATTATATTGACTAATGCATCTAAGAATAGTTAAGTTTATATTAATATGACTGGATATTTTAGTTTCAGAAAGTGTAAATATTTGATTTCATGTATATCTAGAAAGAGATTGGATTGATATGATTGTGTGGTGTGTGGTATTTTCTTAATTGAAATGGGTAATTATTTTGTCTTATTATATATTGGTATTAATGTAAAAATCCCACCGTGACATAATAAACATTAAGATTAAAATACTGTATAAATAAATACTTGCATCTGAACCTGATATAATTATGTATATATTCAGTAAAATATGGCAATTTAATTTTAAAAACAATATTGGCAGTTTAATTATCGGCTTCCCCCTTCAGTAATCTATGAATTTACTTACAAGTTAATACCTTAGATTGGAGAAAATAGACTATAGTACTTGGGGAAAGTTAGGGGAGTACTGGATTTTTTGCATGAACTTAAGTTTTGCTAGTTATTATATTCCCATAAAGTTAGTATTATGAGATCTTTGCGAATGTTTTCTTTTTTATTCTTGACATTTGATTCTGTTTATAATTTTTTGTTTTGATGGAAATTTTAATTTTGTTCAGAACCAGAAACAGAAGGTGTATCTAGGCTATGCTTATATTTTTCAAAAATTTGGCTTTTGTTCCATCTTCATTCCCTGAATCAAATTAGATTCAATAAGTAGATTAACATTAACAATTCGCAGAGCAGACTTACTGTTAAACATCTTGCCATATGCCTTTGCTTTAAGAGATATGTATGTAATGTTATCTGGAAAGAAATTCAGTATATATTGACTACATAATAAATATACTAATTATCTACTCAATTACTTTATTGCTTATAAATTGTGAATCTATTTGGTTGTTATAAAGTGTACAGAAACTTTCAAATGTATCTATTTGAAATAGTTATTGATTACAGAGGAGCAGTAAGTAAGGTGTGTACGAAAAATAAGATCTGCCTAACTACGCATATTTTTTATGATCTCATTGATAAATTTTATGTAGATACAAAATACATTACATAAATTAACTTGAAGCTTACTGTAAAAAATTCTAAGTAATTGAATGTGTATGTATGTAACATGACAAGTTCAAAACCGAAAATTTGCTTTGAAGGATGTAACATTGTCGGGTACTGTAATTTAAGATCTTAATATTTGAGGAGTCTGTAACATGTTGGTAATATCTTTGTGTTACAAGTGTTCAGGCATTGTGGTGGTCGCTTACCATCAGGCGAACCGTATCCTCGACTACTATTTATTTTGTATAAAATACCTGTCACCTAGTACTTGTTTTTAATTTGGTTGATATTAATGCAATAATAATTTGCATACATTAATGTAATAATAAAACCAGCGATACTTTGTAACGCTCGCTATGGAAATACGGGTGATTTTGAAAAACCTAAACGAACAGGAAGAAACGAAAGGCGGTAAAATTTTTCAAATTTTTACTGCGTACGTGACATGTCTCAATTAGTAGTGATAATAGCTGAATATTATTGTTTTTTTTTTTACTCTTCATTGTGAAAAATGTTTAGTTTCATTGGTAAAGCACTCATTTAAAAGGTGCTCATGATCTCGATTTCACCCTCTGTATGTTATGATACCCTCGTTGCAAGTATTGAGTGTGAATTATGTTTTAAGTAGACATCACCTACATTGACCTCAGTTTCATAGGTGGAACAATTATTGTTTTGTGTCTAATTAAGTATAGTAATGTCTATATATGTACATACACAACGGGAATTTTATGAACTTATGTTTAACATTTCCGATAATTTCCTCCGTATGCAATTCCCGTTGTACATGTATATAGAGATAATTAAAAATGAACGTAACTTTTAAAAATAAGTATAGTAATTATGGTTGTCAACTCGACATCATTGTAATTTACTTGAATTTATATTGTCGGTATCTTCCCACTTGATAAATGTTATAAAATATCAATAAGAATAGTTTTTTTTTTTATGTTTATTCACATTTTCTCAATAATTTAATTTTATGTTAACGTTTGACTGACTGATGGTTTACTCTTAAGAATATTAGGTAACGCGAAATGACTGTCAATTATTAATTTCAAGTGTGTGACTTTATTTGCACTGTGATTAGATTTATTTGCAATTTACTGAATTATGAAGACATTAATGAAATTGTGAGTATTGTTGGTTTAGATGATTGTAATATTAACGAGTACCTAATTAAAACTTCTTTATCTCAAAATGAAAAAGTTTCATTTTAAAATTACCTTTTTTGTATATATTAAATGTAATGTTTGTTGTTGATCTGTTATATAACATGTAAATATTTTTTATAAATACTCATTTAGGACTAACAAATATAACAAATCCCCAATAAACATGGCGTTTAGTAAAAAATGTACACTTGAAGCAGGCGTTCGCTTACTTCACAAGCTCTAAGAACATTAAAAAATGCATTTAAAATGATTGAGCAAGCTGAAATCGAAATTACCAAATCGTTATTGCGGTTATTACGAATAAAACATTTAGTTGTGTAGTGCAATTTATTTAAAAAATGTATGAAAATATATCAGGCATTATAAATGATATAAATATATTTGGTGTTTATCATGTGATTACATCACGTAGAACAAAGTAAGAATGCTAAGCTAAGATTAAATATAACAATAACTTCAATAAAGGATATAATACTTTACACAAAAATATAATAATACTTTACATTCAGTAATAATATCACAAAATACCTATACTGATAGTTAAGTACGTAAGAATATTGATGGTTATAGACACTTATCGAGTTATCAAGAAGTAAAATTACGTACAATATGCGAATTGTACATTAAATGAAATATTCAATTGTTATGCATTAGCATATACATTATACAGTAATGTGTAACAATTTCTATGTATGAAAAGATAATAATAATGAGTGAATAACTTAGTCAAGATGAGATATAAAACAATAAAAAAAAATCCATTAGTATTTACTCAATGGCAGATATTATTTTCGCTTCCGATTATGAAGTTAAGAATAATATCTGTTCATGAAAGTTAACTTCATTCAAATTTGTTTAGCGGTGTGTATCAAAGATCTTAACAATCATGATAAGGATAATTTTTAAATTAATTGATTATGCATTTGTCCGCATACATTAGATTATGTATAAATTTATAGAATGGTCCATCCATGTACGAAAATTTGTTAAAATCCGTTCAACTGCTTAAAAGCCATTGAGCAACAGGATTTAAACATCTTTATAAACTTATATTCTTAATATTAATATGATTGCTTACAATTATTCTATTTTATGGAAGACAAGGACGGAAGAATTTTATTGCATTGTTACAATTAAAGCTTTGTGAAAAATTACGATAAACAAAAACTATTAATAAAATCTTTTAAAAATATTATAGATCAAGTATACTATCACTATGGTACTACTATTATTACCGTCAACAAGCATAACGGTAAAATTCATATAAGATCTATGATTTAAGATACAATGAATTTAATACCAGATCATTAATTTATGAGTAAGAGAGTTGCCTCTGCAGAATCAAATTAGGATATTTATATGAATAAGGATACATATTATAAGGTTTTTTCTTAAATAAATACAAGCTCTATTGATGAAATGACGGCCAAGCAATAGATGATCATAATTGCTAGCGATTCGCCATGAAATATGATAAAATTGAGGGCGGTGGGGGGAGGGTTGACCTTACATTTGAGACCCCCCCCTCTTTCGCCAGCATTGCAGTATGGTGACTTTTAAGTTTCTAAATACATCAAAGTACTATCACAGTAATGTTATATGAACAAACCACTACAATAGGTAGGCCAATTCATTCTATAAATACGTACTTATTTGTAATTAAGCCTCCTTTGGTTTGATCTAATATGTTTTACTTATTGATAAAACTAAAAGCGGATAATTTTAAAAAATGTTAAAGTGTAACTTTTTATAAAAATTCTTACATAATATAAATGATAGAGTGTAAAATATCAAAAAGTAACATTGTATAATTAATTTGTTGAGTCGAATGTTAATAAAAAGGCAGTGATTATTATTAAAATTAGTTTAACATTACTTATACTTACACATAAAAGTAAGATATATGCTTAAAAAAATTTTAGCTGTTTTGTTGAATTCTCTAAAATGGATATTACAGAGTAAAATTTCTGCCAATAACATAATGTGGAACAAAAGGTGACTGGGATTTTAATCAGTCTTATACACATGAGTGTCTATCCTATAGTGATAGCTAAAACTAATCTTGGGGCGTTTTATATTTAGTATATATTGGCTTTATAGATATATGCAAGATAAGTATAAAAGACGGACTCGACACCAATACGGTGTTATCACCAGTCAACCGTAGGCAAAAATACCAGTAAAATTAAAATAAACTGCTGAGCAATTAATTTTGAATATTACTATGTCTATATGAATCAAATATATAACGAATAAATAAATTAAGAGTTAAATTGAGTTAGCGACCAAATAAGTAACCAAATTATAATCTTAAATTAAAACTTCAAAATATGATGTTCAACACATTCTTAACTAGATTTTGATCTATAAGATTGGTTCGAACATTAACTAGTAAGTTAAAATACATGAGTAAATAAATAGCAAGTAAATCTTAAGCTAATATAAATAATATTATACTATTATTCTCACTCGAAGTAATAATTTACACCTGGGGATATGTTATTTAAGCGAAAAACTGATTAGTATTTATATATTCTTATGTTTCATCAATTTGTCGCCGTGACGGAATCTCGCATCTCTCTCCCTTTTGTCTCAATAGGCAGCGCCAGACAAGCGCCGGCTGCTAGGATCGCCGCCAAAGAATATACTCCAGTCGCTATAGCTATAGAGTTCTTTAGCAAAACCTGCAAATAAGTTTTGATTGTTTATTATAAATATTATTGTATACAAATATCAAGAACCCGTTATTAACAAATGTCTCGTTGATAACGAATAAAATACGGCTACTAACAGTTCAACATCCGAATTCGTGTTAAAAAATATTTGTTAGCCGCCTTCAAAAAGAAGAAGGTTCTCAATTCGGTTGTGTGTGTGTGTGTGTGTGTGTGTGGTGTGTGTGTGTGTGTGTGTGTGTGTGTGTGTGTGTGTGTGTGTGTGTGTGTGTGGTTGTGTGTGTGTGTGTGCGCGTGCGTGCGTGCGTGCGTGCGTGCGTGCGTTCGTGCGTCCGTCCGTGCGTGCGTGCGTGCGTGTTCGTGTGTGCGCGTGTGTGCGTGTGCATGTGTGTGCGTGTGTGTTTTTATTACTACTATTTTTTTTTAATTCTTTAAGTTACTTACTTGGGCAACGTAAGGTGTCACCATAGCGCCTAGTCTCGCAACACCACTACACGCACCCACGGCTGTTGATCTCAGTGCAGTAGGATATACCTGTTAAAAATTCATTATCCTCCGGTTACTATAGACAGAAATAGAAAAGATTTCAACTTGAGAGAGAGGATATACAATTAAACATTTGATATGATAATATGTGTCCTAAATTGCCCTATTATAATCTGAGACATGACAAAATGTTGAAGCACTGGTTGTCTCTTATATGTGGCCTTACTGTATAGAATAACACTATTGTTGAGGCAATACTAATGATCTACAAGCTATAGGTAGGTTTTTAAAGTTGAAGATAAACACATGCATTCAATAATGGGGTTGACTCGGATTTTAAACTTAATATCACAACATTATTCTAAGTATCAACATATCGTCATAGTCGTAGAATACCGACGGATCTTTATATGTAATCTTTGTCAGATCCGTCAGTATTCTACGACTATGACGATATGTAATTTAAATCTTTAATAGATTTAAGTCAAAATTATTTTAAATTGAGTTGATGATGCCCCATAAAACAATAATTTCGTGAAAATATCAAATTAATATATCAGATTCAGGGATAAGTTACAGTAGAAAAAAAGATTAGAATGGAGCTAATGGTAAACTGGAGTAAATATAAAGATCTGAAGGATTGAGTTTATAATAAAATTAACAATGTTGTTACCTCTGGAGTGTAAACATAAGCGGCCTGGAACAATCCGGCTATGATACCGCGCGCCAAGAACAGGACGCATGTCAGAAATGTCCGACTGGAATAGTATTAAATATCTTAAAACTTATTTTTTTAATAAGCTATATGAGTATTAATATAAATATAATAATTATTGTTCTATCATTTAGTAAACCTATTTTAAAATGTATTCTGCTACTATTATAATTACGAAAGTTTGTAAGGATGTTTGTATGGATGGATCTTCATCTCTTTTTTACGCAAAAACAACTGAATAGATTTGAATGAAAGTTAATTAGGATAGATACTTTGTTACTTGTGTACTTGATTTTAAAGTTTCTCTACTAAATAATAATGCGATCAAGCTGTTTGTGAAATTACGAACTTAAATTTGACTGCAGAACATAAAGAGTAAAATAGAAGTTACTTACTTTCCATTATATATGAGCACACAAACACATATAGCGAATATAACAAACTGGCACGCCATTGTCTTCTTCCGTCCAAACTTTTCAATCACGAAAATAGTTGCAAATATTCCTGTAAAAAAAATTTATTGTGTATATATTATTTCTACACAAAAAAAAAAAAAAAAAATATATATATATATATATATATATATATATATATATATATATATATATATATATATTTGCTACTGTAGTAACAGTATTATTTTAAGATGAACACTCTCTTTACACATAACTACAGCCAGAATAAAAAAAAAAAATATTAACAAGCCGGAGTCACAGTTGTGCAATTTTATCGTTATAATGTAAAACGAGAGATTTCGCTCTTATATCAAATATTGAGCGTATAATTTTTTTTGTGAAAAATCATGAGATATCATGTATTGGTACAAGTTTAAAAGGGTCTCCATATAGGCTCTCGTAAAATTAGTTTACCATTTCTATAAAATATACGTCGCAAATACAACATGTTCTGGTGAAATTTGAGGGTAGTTTAATATACCAGGGAACTCGGCGAGCGTGGTCCACAGCAAGTCCATATAATCAGTAGTGTGCAGCGGGCGGCAGTCGGCCGCGCACGTCTCGCTTGCACCGTGCGCGTCACTCTCGAACAGCTCCGTCGTCATCAGCACCAGGCCGTAGTAACAGAACGCGCATGACATCCTGAACATAAGATGAACATAGGTTTTTTTATAATGGTATGGTAACTTCGCTTGTGTTACCAATTTACAATGGTGAGGTGTCAGTGACGAATAATAGGCGAAGATGGATCAGGTGTTTAGGCTAACATGACGAATTTACTTACAATAGTTTGCAGGAGAGGGTAACGTGCATGTCAACTTTATTATGAGATATATTGTTAGCAATAGGGTTATTAGTCTCAGTTACTGACAAATGTAATGGATTTAAAATAAAAGAATTCTCTATTCTTCTAGATTTTTCTTTTCTATTTTATTCTATAATTTAATATAGAACAAAAATACACATATATAGTCAGATATTTCAACAGCACATCAAAACTAATCGTCAATGTCATGATTCGGTTTATATTTATTATAAGTCATCCTCATCAAATGTACCGTAGGACGCTTTTTTGAAAATAAAAAATCGATTTTTTGAACCTTTTACGGCATGACGAAATAGACTTATTAAACATACCATATAAACCAAAGCAGCAGGCTGGTGTTCCTGAGGTGTGGTATGAGGAGGTGTTTGAGCCGCCCGCGTTGGCCGATACCGACCGAGTCATCGCACACCAATCGGCCCAGCAACATCGGGCGCCCGTTGTCTTTTGCGATCTGAGGCAATTTATCATATCACTAATATTTATATAATTACACCAATTCGTAGGGCGACTCGCTGTGTTCCACAGGATAGTGGAGTGTTTGCTCAAGAACTGCATGACCTGATTCCTCCTTTACCCTTTCGGCATCGGACAACAAGACGAGGCGAGAGTATCCATCTTTATGTCGTTTACATTTACACGCACACATTTATACGAATACGTATGGTCAAGAAGTGAAACTCTCCCCGTGCTTATGTGTGTCCATCCAAATGTAGATTATATAGTGTATTGGTGTATATTATATACACCAATTTAAAGCAAATATGAATTAGCTATTTGGAGGCCCGCTAGCTCCATCTTAGATCACATCATCGCTTTCCATTAGGCAAGATCGTGATCGATTGTGGAACCCTTCAATACAATAATACAAAAAAAATCGCAGGGCACTTTAAGATTCATGATATTAGATGCATGTTTCAACGGCGCGAGAATATGTGAATTGTCGCAGATACAAGTAGTAAAAGTTTCATCACAATGGATTAACTGATCTGTCTTCATCTTCACCTATCATCCCCCAATGGTGCCCTGCTAGCGTATATCATAGAGCAGGCGGTTACTATTCCATTTTCACCAATTAAAATACAAAAGGCGTATGGTCAAGAGTTATTAGGCCGACTTCAACATACACGAATCAGACATACTTCAATCAGTTAGTAAATCTTTTACATAAAAGCTACTTATATAGCCATTATCTAGTGGTTGTGTCTATTAGATTTCCTATTAAAAAATCAAATAGGCCCATTAATTCACACTGAAACTAAAGTATAAAATATTATTTCATATAGTCCACCCCTAAAGGTTTTAAACATCATTTACAAATCCTAAGTAATAAATGTCTTTGGTTTAGTGAAGTTATGTTCAAGTCCCGCAAAATCATTAGTTATTACAGGCGGTTTGCTAGTCTACATCTGTCATAATAAAAACACAAGAATGCCAGCTTTAAATATAATAAACTTGTCTAATTTATTACCTGCTCCAAAGTTGACAAAGCTTTATCTGGTTGTCCACTTGCAACATGAAATCTCGCCGATTCCGGTAACCACTGTAGGTATACATATTTTTTTTTATTATTAATTACATTACAATTATGTAAAAACAATTCTAAAATATTTAAAAAAAATCCTGTTTGCATCTGTCTGTATTTTGTACTGTTATTATGATATTTTTCGGAAGGTTAGTACGTACACATTACATAACGTGAAATTGAAGCGGGTCGTAAGTTATTTATAACAAGTTGAAATCGTTTCACAAAAAAAAAAAACACCGACTCCAATCATGATAAAACTAGTTGATATAAAAACTAATCTACTGAACTGATTTTGATGAAATATCTATTGGATCAATTTAAAAGTATATCCTGTAAAATAAAAGAAGAATTTTCTAAATCAATAAATGACGAAGTTCTAACATATAACAATTGAACCGAATTGAGAATCTTCTCTTTTTTGAAGTTAGTCAAAAAGAAAAATGATAATTGTAATAATTATATGTATATATAGAAGACAGATATGTACCGGGCATATTAAGGCGAATATTAACAGCGGTATGGTGGACAATGCGAGGAGCCAGTGCACGCCCAGGGTCGGCATCACGACCAGCGCTAGCGCTACCTCCAGGCAAGCGCCCAATGCCCAGAAACACTAAAAATATAAGTTCAATAAAATATAGGTAACTAAATAAATAGCTTTAGTTATATCACACAGCAATGTCTAGTTTCAAATTACGTAGAGCTTGCACTAAAGTACTAGACAATTGTTTAGCACTGATAAGCATATTTATGTGTACATAGACATTATCATATCAGCCATTAACTCTCCACTGCTAAACATAGGCCTTCACCATAGGGGGGAGGTCTTGCCAGTAGTTGCCACGCTTGGTAGGCAGTTTGGCAACCGCTATTAGGTTTTGATAATGTTAGAAGAGGGATGCTGCTACACATCCTCAACTACTAATTATATACATATTTATACATAATGGAATGTGGTAGTTCAATACAAATTGACATGCTTATGAATACACGTATTTGTATAGATTTTATGGGGTTCAAACAAAACAAGCAACTAATAAGGTCTAGCAGTGTGTCAAACTGGTGGACAATAAAGATATAAATTAAAATTTTGTCCTTCTCATTTCACTTATTTACTTCATAAATCTGATTGTGAAATAACAACAAATTGTGTGTGACGAAACACAAACGTGGTTTAGAACTGTATATTACACACAAAATTATCATAGAATTTCTCTTTCTTCCATTTGAAGTTGCTTAAAAAATATAAGAATAATAAAACTTACATCAAGCAGAACAACACATTTAGCTCTCTGTTTTGTCGGCAAAAATTCCGCATATAAAGTAACTCTGAAAATAAAATAAAATACAGGTTATAAACAATATATTAAATATTATTTAAGATAATGAGTTAATCAGAATATTTAGTAAAAGTGAATATGAATAACAAAAATATTTTACATATTAAATTAGTTCTCTCTTTCAATTTGTATCCAATATCTTGCTGTATTTTTACATTAATTATGATCAGACGCTTAGTAACTTTAATGAAATATAAAAATAATATTCTACTAATTATTATTATTAATATTTCTAATGGTATGATGGAAAAAGTTTGAAATAAGCAGGATTTGAATATGCAGCCCTTATGCTAAGTCAGGGCCAAGCCAAGTTAATTTCACGGGAGTATAATCACTCAATAACTATCGATTGTAAAAATAAATATATATCAAAATCGATTTAAAAATGGTAAAGATATTGCATAAAAGAACACAAAAAATATGTTGTAAAAGGTGAGTTGAGAATTTATTACTATTATATTTCACTTAAATAAATATTTCTGCTAATAAATCATTAACAGATGAGAGTTTTATCATAAATATTTAAATGTGTATATTTTGATTATGTAAAGTTTATACATACGATTGTGGAACACAGCCTATGGCAAAACCAACGAGTCCCCGTAGAAATAATAGCCACAGAAAATTTGGAGCTATTGCACTTAATAATCCATAATAGAATAGTAAAACTCCGCACATGCTGAGTGCCTACAAAACAATATCATATCAATATATATATAAATAATATATATATCAATTAGAGTGCTTAATTTAGAGATTATCTTGAGTGGGTACTTGTACAGATGTATAGAAAAGAAGAAAACATAATGTATAGAAATTATGTTTTGGCAAGAGATCAGTTTTAATATCTAGTGTTGTGCTGATATGTGAGTCACTGGTTTTTGGTATTTGAATATTTCAATATTTGTAAAAAAAAAGGATAATTAAGGAAAAAAAAATTTGAAATCATGCAACAAAAACTAATGATAAACATGCAACTACTATCCTGTTATGAGTACTATGTATCTAAATTCCATAAATTAAGTACTCGAATACCTGAGTATCTAGTACTTATTCATCAGTCACAAGTCAGTTTGATTCAGTAATCACAAATTTAAAGTCAACAATAACATAGTTAATTAAATTCTCATCCATTATAAAAATAAAATATCAATATAAAATTTAAAATCTATATATAGATTTGTACTTGTTTCATACATTTAAGTACTATTTGAATTAAGCACTTATAATTTTAAAATAACAATTGTACCATAAACAATTGCTATAAATACTTACAGTTTTTCTTCCATATCTGTCACTAATGTTCCCCCAAAAAGTTGAACTCAACATCATCCCCATGAAAACAACAGTTGTTGTTAAAGCTTGTTGATACCTAAAAGAAACATTTTGATTTAGACTGGCCATAAATAATATTTTAACTATTTTTTTTTCTTATTTCTATGGTGTGAAAAGCACATTTTCTTACATAAAAATCAACCATTCCTATAGGATAACTTAAAATTTCTCAATTATAAACTTCCTGGTTAACAATATCCAGTCTATTTACTGAATGATATTTTGCATACATATCTATTTGGGTATCTATTTGAAAGGTACATCCCTTATGGGGAATTATATATATTTTAAGGATATACATGTTTACATTAATTGTTATGATCATGTAGTACACATAGTATAAGGATCATAGTACTATTAGGTTGAATGTTATATCATTACAGTGGTAACAATAGATAGTTAAGATTGTGTTAGACAAAAAAAATCCAACTTCTTACCCGATTTAGATCAAATTTCTATGGGACCAATATGTAGATATATGATTTTAGATAAAAAAAGAATTATCCAAATTAGTTTACGACTGATAGAGTTACGAGGTAGCTAATATAAAAAAAAACAATATATAAACAAACTGAGAATCTCCTTCTTTTTGAAGTCAATTGTTACCTTATATAGAATTACAGTTATGAGCATATTTTTTCAACAATAAAACTTTGACTTAATATACATAATGAACATGTTAACTGGGTTTAAGGATCAGTGTGCTCAATAAATAAATAATTATAATAAGAACTCATTAATTGTGTATATTAAGTGTAAGGAGAATAGTGAAAGTCTAATATTATATATATATTTCACATCTATAAAAATATAGTATAATATGCTATACATACAATTATATATGTGTTTCTGAAAGCTTAAAGTATATTATGTTAATTAACTAGAGTAAACATATTACTTGCTAATATTCCATTCACAGTGTAGAGCTGGTGACAATATGCTTAGGATTGTCATCTCCATAGAATCTGCCATCCAACATAAGCCAGTGCACAATGACAGTTTCACTTGAAACCATCCAAATCCAAGAGCATTGACCGCTTGAGTTACTGTAAATGTATCTGAAATATCAAAACAATCATTAATTGAACATAAATTTATCTTTTGACTATTTTATTAATATAATAAAATAGTAACTAAACAATGTCTGTACATAGAAGATATACAAGAAAAATTAATAAGAGGGGTATTAATAAAACCAGCAGAGGCTAAAACAATAGCTTCTAGGAATTTTGTCTATCTGACTGTTTGTTTTGGCATCACTTGAATGTAGTTGCTGTTGTGTTCCTGAAGGTCTAATTTAAAATCTGGTGTGTTTTATTTTGTTATGTCACCTAGAATTAGTAAAATTCATTGGGCATCTTATTTTTGAAATCATATGAACAAAGTAGTGGGCAAAAACCTAGCAGTAAATAAAAAGTGAGATTTGCTAATGTAATTATAAATAGGATGGCTTATACAACATCCTAGAAATAATTATCCATGCTCGCCTTGGCAAGAGCACTTATGTTGTTTTAGATTTATTAATTTACACATTTGATAGTATATGGTAGTCTAGATCTGCAATGCTTATAATATAAACTGTACACTATAAATTATTTTTGAAATAGTTAACCCATACAACAAATTCGCATTAATTGTATCTCATTAAGTAAGCATGCCGACAAGAAGAGAGTAAAGCTCTCTCCTATTTCTCATTTGCCTACTTTGTTGGTTTAATTCTAAAGAAAATTAGTGAATAAGTAGTTTTTATAAATTTTTAAATTGTGAAATTAACATGAATTAATGGTATATATTTTGTATTGTATTTATCAGAACATACCATCAGGAACAACTGTAACGGATGCCATTTCGATTTCTTGGGGAGGAGGCATAGGCGGAGCCGGAGCCCTAGGAGTCACCACAACACTATCATCTAGATCTTGGTATCCTTTAGCACGCCGCATTTTACTTAATTTCAGAAATATAAACACTATTGACGTGGAATGTACAATGAATGGATAACGGGAATTTAGTGGTTCATCATTCTTCAAACAAAAATAGTTTTTATTATAAACAAAACAATATTAATTAATGTCATGATTTCATTTTACAAGTACATTACAATTGTAGATAAAAAGTTACGCGTAAAAATAAATAAAAAAATAATAAATGGATAAAATAATGAAAAAGTAAATAAATAAAAGAAAGCGAACTAAATTTGAAGATGCGTTCTGATTTGAAGTTCGACTCGAACTGGCCGTCACTTCGAACAAAAAACATTTGTATAAAGTCAAACAGTTAAATTAAAAATGTTATTGGCACTTTTGCTCTTAAGTTTTATTTTCTGTTTATTATAATAAATTATGTATGTATTGATTTATATGCCTAATGAAAATAAATATAGTGTAGAATAAATGAAAATTTCTCACATTGTTAATAATTTGCATGCCGACATGGAGGCAGAATGTATATGGGAAATGTAAACCTCTTTCATTTAAAACTATCTATATTCTAACAAAATAATTAAATTAAATTTGATTTATGTATATAACTAGTTCTTTAAATTTAAAGAATTTACGACTTAAATAGGTAGATAAGTCTTTCTGATGTCTATTGATATTAATATATTGAACAAAGACATATTATAAATAATTATAAAACATTATGAATTAATTTCATTGTGTCGATATTTCTAGGAAGTAACATAGATTTATTATCTAGTTTCGTTAGTATGAGGATAGTGTTAACTCTTTAACAACTTAGTGATTACCTACCTATTTTGACAGATAGCTGTGGTGATCTTAGATTATGAAGTATGTAATACTAAGTCTATGGGTATAACTCATCTAGCGATGGACGCAACCGTGCTAGCATATACTATTTTTTTTTAAATTAGTCAACATTTATCGTAGGTAGGAGAATTTTTTTAAAAGGAAATATATGAAACGGAACGCATTGGGCACAACTAGAGGTATTAGGAAGGTGTTTCTCCGTAATAGACTATTACTTATACTGTGATAAAAAAATTTTGATGGCTGAAAATTGCTGTCTTTATTTTTGACATGCTTAGGTTTTGTATTAGATGACATACCTATTTTGTATAGATTAGTACCTTAGATTATATAGAAAGAGCCTGGAGTTTTAAAAACGAGTCAACTTATCTAGATTTTATTTATGTAGGTATGTACTATATGATTTTTTATTATTTCAGTCGTTAACTGTCCATTGCTAAACATAAGGCTTCCCCGTAAAGAAAGGTTTGTCAGTAGTTACCACGCTTGGCAGGCAGGTTAGCAACCGCAGTTAGGCTTTTACAAATGTTTTAAGAGGAACGCTGCTTCCCATCCTTCCACTATAAACTCCCTTAGACGCCTCTTACGACACCCACGGGAAAGGAAGGGGTGGTCTAATATATGCCGGAACCTACACGGCGATACTGTACTGTATATATCGTAGGTAGGAGAATTTTTTTAAAAGGAAATATATGAAACGGAACGCATTGGGCACAACTAGAGGTATTAGGAAGGTGTTTCTCCGTAATAGACTATTACTTATACTGTGATAAAAAAATTTTGATGGCTGAAAATTGCTGTCTTTATTTTTGACATGCTTAGGTTTTGTATTAGATGACATACCTATTTTGTATAGATTAGTACCTTAGATTATATAGAAAGAGCCTGGAGTTTTAAAAACGAGTCAACTTATCTAGATTTTATTTATGTAGGTATGTACTATATGATTTTTTATTATTTCAGTCGTTAACTGTCCATTGCTAAACATAAGGCTTCCCCGTAAAGAAAGGTTTGTCAGTAGTTACCACGCTTGGCAGGCAGGTTAGCAACCGCAGTTAGGCTTTTACAAATGTTTTAAGAGGAACGCTGCTTCCCATCCTTCCACTATAAACTCCCTTAGACGCCTCTTACGACACCCACGGGAAAGGAAGGGGTGGTCTAATATATGCCGGAACCTACACGGCGATACTGTACTGTATAATGTTATTGAGTATTATGCAGACATTGTTATTTGAACGATTGCTTTTAAAATGAAAATCTAGATATCCGTGTACACTTTAAATATGGATCCAGTGACAGATTGAATAAAAATGACTGCTATTTTTTTGTTTTTTGACCGATTACATTTAAAATCGACATCGGATGATCCCTATATACTTCAAATATAAAACCGGTGTCAGAATTAATCTAAATGGCATCCATTTTTATTTTCTTTGTTATTTGACTTTCAAAATCAATATCTGAGGATCTGTATATATTTCAGATATGAATCTGGAGTCAGAATTATTCAATACGGCCACCATTTATGTTTAAAGTGATAAAAATATTTTTTTGGATAAGGATTAACAATATAGTATTAAGAATTTAAACTTTAGATACAATACATTTCAATATTTTTACATTTAGTTAACTTGATTAAAATTAATTGGCTCATATTTTGCATTCTCAGACATAAGTCTTGCATAACAAACAAAAATCTTGCATAAAATTAAAATGGCTTCTACTTCGATTAATTCTAATACCAATATATGTTTTAAATCTAGGTATAAATATTCTGAAATATTCGTATTCAAAGAAATTGGTTCGGTAAAAAAAAATCAAAATGACCATCATTTTTAGTGATATTATCCTTCCATATTTAAAGTATACTTGGATCCACAAATAGTGATTTTCAACCTTCACTTCAAAATTTTACTCATTTTTAAATCAATATGAAATAATTATGAAGTTCTTTCTATCATATATTTATTTTTTATCTACGCATTATTTATAATAAATAATACAATTAAACATATAAATAAAGTTAAATATTAGAAACATATATTTAATCATAATTATATTTTAAGTTACGACTTTCATCTGTTTACCTTAATCTAAAGTAATAGTTTTTAATCTGGTAACACAATTATATAAAAAGTTGACCCGCTTATTTCGAAGAATTTGTATGGAGTTATTCTATGTAATCTAAAATTAATACATGTTTTATTAAAGTGAAAATATCGGTTGATTACTATTGTCGGATACCTATAGTAAAATAATAAAAAAAAAATCGGATTAAAAAATATTACTTACATTTTTCTAGCACTCGTAGTGATACTTATATAAAATATTTAACATGAAAATAGTACATTTCCATATATGACAGAAAAAGCAATATTAAATTTAAATAGGCCTTCAGCAGTACAACGGATTGATCGATTCACATTTGATATCCTATTACTTCGATATTATCAAAGCAGCCTTAGCGTTAGGCATAGGTATTATCAACACAGCTCCGATATCTAGGGGGGAAAAAGGGATTGTTAGCAATGGAGTTTGACAGCCCCATTGCTAGCAATATTATTATATATATATTAGGTCGACCTCTATGTGGTTCCCCCTGGAAACCATCGTTGACCTGGAAACAATCTTGTTGAACTCGACACGATGGGCGAACTTACCTGACTTCATCCTCACCTATCAGCTATCGTTAATACCCCGCCAGTGTATACCGATAGCGTAGGCAGGGTCACTTTTTCATTTTTATCCAATAAAAGATATCTATCTATAGGTACATTGGGTTTCTTTTGAAACTAAATTGAAAAAAAAATTGATTTTGACTTTTCTTAAAAGGTAGCGTAAGATAACACAGCTACGAAAAATACATATGAGTAGGCGAATCAAGATTATCTTTATTTTATAAGTTGTTTAGTTATGTCGATGACAAACAAATTGCTTTGAAGACCAGTGAAGTAATATGAAAATAAAGGACATTTTGTTTGCGGCCAATAAATTTTTCCTTCGTATCAGCCATTTTTTTACCAGTACTGTAAGTAGTATATAGGTATTTCAAATATTTTATTCTATTATGACGGACAAGATGATATGCGCCAAAGGTTATGTACACCATAGACGTAATATAACGTACTCATGTACTACTTCTAATATACTTCTAAGCTATATACATGCTACGTACACAGGCAGGTTGTTTATGCCTCAGAGTACATGGTGTAGGGAGTGTTTTTTTATTCTTTAAATGAAAATTAAATTGAACTTGTCTTATTGTCGTTACCACTCCACTTATCATTAAATATTCGATTTGATTCATATAAGTAGGTATTTGTTAACAAATATCAAGATGGGATAAGCGGTGAGCAACAAGATGTGGGCGTATCTACGTGTTTTCTGATAAAATCGACTTATAGATAATGTAGAAAAAGGTCAGAGGTTACAAGGACGGAATAGTCTATTTATTTATATTCTGAAGAAAATATACCTAGACCTTTGGAGCATTCATATTTTAGCTTATTGAAGTACGGTAACGTCGCAATATCTGTCAAATTTTAAAAACATTTGTATAGTTTTCAATACTTCTTATTATTTAAAAAGTGTTCTGCTAATTAAGTAAAATGTTAATCATAGAATATGTTGCCTATTAATACACCATTAAAATTTTGAACCTACTTCATCTGTCAAATTTTAAAAACATTGTATAGTTTTCAATACTTCTTATTATTTAAAAAGTGTTCTGCTAATTAAGTAAAATGTTAATCATAGAATATGTTGCCTATTAATACACCATTAAAATTTTGAACCTACTTCATATTTTGTTTCTTAATTTTTTAAACATAGTTTTGCCTTAAAATCCAATTTTTTAGTAAAAGGTAAAAAAATATTATTCCATGAATATCGTTTTAGTTTGTTATGTGAAAACTTTTAAAATGATTGGCTCAAAACATCGAAAATTGTTATATAACAAGGATAGTACCTGTTTTTGAAAATAGATAAATAATTGCGATAGTTTTACACATTTTGGCAAGAGAAAGTTATGATCGCATTTAATATGAAACTCTCACATAGATATTCGTATGTTCCTCAAATTGACGTGTCTAGATTTTATTACGAGAAAATAATTTTTGCATGTGAACAATTTCCTACTTCTTCTCTTTCAAATTTTCAATTTGAAGCAAATATTTCATCCTAACAGAATGTAACTATTTCAAGTTGAAGTGGATGTTAATTTAAAGAAAAACCATTTTATTACTACTTATTATCCATTTTATTACGATATTATTACTATATTATGTTTGAAATACAAATTTAAAAATACATTGTAAGTTAGTAGCTACATAAAATAAAAAATGAATAACTGACTGTGTTTTTAAGCGTAAAAATCAAGAACGGCTGGATCAATCCGCTAAATATTTATTCGAATACATAAATTCAGGAGAAGAGGAAAATAAAAAAAATATTACTGTAAA